CCTATCATCAATTTGTTGCTCGACGGCAGAAACTCGCTCTTCTATATGGTCTTTTACAGAAGGAACTCTTTCTTCTATTTCTTCTTCTTTCACACCGAAGAAACTCTTTCTTCAATTTGACCTTTTACGGAAGAAACTTTTTCTTCAATTTGCCCAACTTTATTTTCAACCACATCTATTCTGCCTTCCATAGCATCGAATTTGGTTTCCATTATGCAGGCAATTTCTCTTTTCATTTCGTATTGACTTTCTTCAATCTTTACTTGTACGGCTTTTATTTCGTCTTTAAAAGTTAATTGACCAGCTTGAATGGCCTTTATCTCTTCCTTAACGGATTCTTGTCCCGCTTCAATCCTTTCCTGATTAGATTTCATATCTTCTTTCAACGAGGTAAAGGCTGAGATCAACTGCCTTAATTGCTCTTCCATCGCTCTTGTTATTGGCATCAAATCCCAATCCCACTTCTGACACCAAAAATTGTTGCGTGCGTACGAGTTCGTTATGAAATGAATGCACAAGTCCGATGAAAAATGAACAAAAATTTATTATTATCACAACAAAAATGCTTAAATTTTCTCAAATTATCATGCAGTATTACAATATCTCACAGTAGTTATCTTTTAACTACTCAAATGTCCAATAGAACGTAATTCAAAACAGCTAAAGAACGCTAATCCGCGAATTCGCTACAATCAACAGGTGACAGGTGACGGAACGGGGACGCCTGGTGTTTAACATAGGTAAACAGGCGTGTGTCCCGCGCTCTCCCCTATCTAGGAATAACAACTCCCTGGGGCCCCGTGAGGCTGCCTCGGGAGTTTATAATACAGATCTAAAGATCAATACATGGCCAAACAGGGCCTGAGGATTATTGTTTGACAATGGTTGCGTGACAATAACTTTGTGGGTGTGCATGGCTGTTGGAATAACACAGATACATAAAAATATACAAAACAAATACAAGAATAGATACATATACAGGCAAAAACAAACAAATTCTAACAGATACGAAACGAACATAAGGATGCATTGATATTAAGATAAATATGAAGAGAGACAACATATGTAAGATACAAGAGTAAAAACAAGAGTAATAAATACTTATAAAGTCATATGTGTATTGCTGTTATCCTTGGGGTTGCAAATGTGCTGTGAGCACTTAAACACAGAGATGAAGCTATTAGTACCGGATGTCGAGTTATGGTGCCAGGAGTTAGTGTTAGAGTTCGCTGAAAGTACAGTCTGCACTATAGTTCAAATTTGCAAGCGTTCAGGCTACACTAAAGTTTAGTGTACACTGTGGTACTAATAGCACTAAATTTGGAATTTGGCACAGTCACTAAGTTTTAATGCAATTGCTATAGGTTGGTACAGTCACTACAGCGCAGACACTATGTTAGGCACAGTAATTTCAGTACACAGTCACAATGTTTGCACAATTACTATGACTGTGAACAAGTACGGTGTAGGTACTGATCTTCACTGATGTGTGCACTAGTGCTTAGGCATAGTCGGAGTTGGTGCATGATGTATACGTGCGGTGCAATTATTACGTGCAACCATTCATTGCAATAGGTTGGAAGGTGATGTAGGCATTCGAAGGCAGTTTGAGTTGACACAGTTGGTACTCTGCTAGCACACCGGTAAGGTAAGTTCTAAAGAAGATTGACGTGTGCACATAAAGTTGAAGGCTTGGTGGTGGGGAGCTTTTGTTTAACAACTTGTGGGGGTGGCCCCTGAGTGAAAAGCTTTTGAAAAGGTTGGATAGTCGGTAGGGGGGACGAAAAGATGATCGTGCTTAATCTATTGCGATGAGCAGATATCTTGGCCCATTGCCCCGATTTGAGTGATAGCTTTGCAGATTTTAGTTATGGCTGGCTTGTGAGTGATGATAAAGCGGTGGTACGCATCTCTGTTCATGGTTGGACATGGGAGGTGATGGTCTTTTGTCAGCTGGCTGGTGAAAAGATAGTGGTCTGGGTTGCCTGGGGCTCCACAGACGCATATATCTGTTGATGAGATGTTGTGCCTTTGGAAGTAGCTGGGGAATGGGCCGTGTCCCGTGATATATCGTGTTAGCGGAGCGATTGCGATGTGTCGATCCGTGCTGACTTTGGGGAAGAAATCGTAGGTGCGGCGGCCAGTTGTGCTATGGTTCCATTCCTCCTGCCATTGTTGGAGCCCTTTACTCCTTAGCTGTCCCTTTAGGTAGGAAGGTGGGGCTTGAAGGTGTATCTGCTGTGCATTTGAGTCGGTTACTGCCTGATTGATCAACAAGAGCAGTTTTCTAAACAACAACAAACTAAGCAACTACTACAAACTGAGATGTTTTCCTCCTTTTATAAGATTTTAAAATCACGCGCTAGAATTTTCCAGTACTTTCTCGAAATCAAAAAGAGATTTATTTATTTAATGCACGCGCTCTTGTATTTTCAATTTTCCGGCTTAGCTTTCTTTTAATATTCGTCACGCGCTGCACTGCGCGAGAAATAAAACCATTTAATTTGTAATTGAACTAACATTAGCTTTCTAAATACCAAATTCGTAACAATCCATTTGAACATTTGCATCTGCGACTGGCAGATATTTTACTGTATGTGTAAGGTATTTTCTCCCGCCTTAAGACGTGCCTTCTCGCCTCCCAGGGTCATTTATTGTACTCATTGAGATCTGCGGTCTGACAGTCTATACTCTGGATGTATAAAATACACGAGCCCGATTCCTACTACCTAAAGGGTAGCCTATGCTATCCGAGAAGGTAGTGGCTTCGGCCATCCAAGTGGATGACCGACAGCCATTCTTTCATCGGTTTCAACAAGCTCTACACGACTAAACGATACTTTTATGATCCGCATCTCCTGGATTGGGCCCTTGGGTAGAGTTGCTCAGCCTGAGTTTCAGATTCCTTTGGAAACTTCTTCGGCTCAAAATGGAAAGCATACAGGGGTGAGCCGTGTCGGGCAGTATATAAGGGATGCACGCAGCACGTACTTAAGTTACGTACACTCACGTTTGTGAAAATTGCAACACCAAGAAGGAATCGTCATAATTGAATGCAATTTAATACACAGTTGAGTGGTAGTGGTACAAATAAATGATTAAATGTTCAAAGCAAACAAACAATAACAAGAGATCAGAATCAGTATTTTGTGTGGCCACCACGCGCCGCAATAAGTGCTGCTACACGACGTGGCATGGAGTCAAACAAAGTTTGAATGTCTGACTGAGGAAGAGCATTCCATATCGTTTGTACGCGTACCCAAAGTTCGTCTGCAGACGCAACAGGACGAGGATCACGAGCAAGACGCCGACCAATGACATCCCACACATGTTCAATTGGCGACATAATCCGGGGAACACGCAGGCCAAGGAAGAAGCTGTACCTGCTGCGCTGCAAAGAAGGATTTAACAATCCGAGCAGTATGAGGGCGGGCATTGTCCTGTTGAAATACAGCGCCTGGCAAGCTTTGAAGGAAGGGAACAGCTTCGGGCTGTAGAACTTCACGGATATACCGGTTGCTGTTCAGATTGCCCACAATTCGTAGCAATTGAGATCGTCTATGATATGCTATGGCGCCCCAAACCATAACTCCGGGTGTTCGTCCACTGTGGCGTTCGATAATGCACTCCGGAAGGTGCGTTCACCGGCATAGCGTCTGACACGAATGCGGCCATCATGGTACCACAAATTAAAGCGGATTCGTCAGAAAACACGACATGCTGCCAATCAGCACGCCAGTCTCTATGCTGATTGGCCCATTGTAGCCGCAGGCGGCGATCGTCGTGCGTTAGGGGGATCCTGTATAAAGGAGTCCGTGCGCGCAGTCCACACTGCAGCAGACGTCTACGAATTGATGAAGCACACAATGAAAACACCTGTAGCTATTGACCACAGTGCTGCCAATTGTCTAGAGGAAGCTGTACGGTTCCGTCCGCGCCATGCGGACCAGGTGTCTATCATCGCGAGCTGACGTCACATTTCGGGGTCCACTCCCGGATTTCCGAGTTGTCCGACACTCGTCCGTCCACTGCTTCCAAACGCGCATCACTGTGCTGCTGTTACGCTGCACAACGAGAGGCTACTGCACGATACGACAATCCAGCTTCACGAAGGCCGATGATTCCCATCGTTCAAACTCTGTATGTTGTTCAAATCTCGCTCTCTTTCGTCGACGAGGCCATAAGTACAGATTGAGTTAACGTTTACCACTAGCAGATAACCACCGATAACCATACACGCCTCGCTACAGCCGTCTATTTATTCGGATCCATCAGCCGTTCAGAGGGCGCTGCTCAGCATACGCATGCGCTACGGATTTGCAATTCTAATCATTTGCATATCATGCGCTACTTTGCATTTCCTGAAAATTTCAGCTCACTCGCGTAAGTCCTTCATGGTGTTGCAATTTTCACAAACGTGAGTGTATTTAGCGTGAGCCTGCCGTCGTGGTGTAATTGGACAGCTAGCAATCGGGAGGTCTGGAATTCAAATCCCTGAGAAAGCATCGCTGATTTGTCTAGTTTCTTGACTTCTAAGAACAATAGTGGTTTCTATCGTGGCGTCCGAACTAAAAAATGATGGACTATAATTCGTCATCTCCATGATTGGGCGATTGGGTCCCGTCTTTCGCGGTCACCCTTTAAGTGGGATAGAAAGTAACGCGCTTTCTTCCTACTTACGTGTGCCATCCTTGCGAAGAGGAAAGCATATCCTTCTAGCAATCGGGAGTGCTGAAGTTTGAATTCCAGCGATGGCATTTCACATTTTTCCTGTCTCCGAAATAAAATGCTTAATAGTCTTTATAGATCTTGCTCTCCCTTCCCTTTTTCCCTGTGTGTATGTTATATGTGTGTATGTGTATGTTAAAGGATGGATCTATGCAGAGATATCTTTCAGACTGCCATGTTAGAATATACTCTCAAATAAATTTGAGTTAACATTTCTGAGAAGTTTATGGATAATTAGAATCTAATCGGATATTTTTCTTTTTCTTTTTCAGCTGTTAATAGGGCATTCATAATTAAAGAGGAAAATCCCCATTCACAAGAAAGTTCTCTACTTGAAGTTAAACATCTTGATACTGAGACTGACAAATGGCTGAATAATTACCTCAGCGACAGCCAATCAAATGAAATTTCATCAAAATTCGAGGAGCATAAAAAACGGTTAAGAGCTATCCGTTCGATATTTGACGACTTTGACGACTTTGACGACGACACAGATTCACATTATGATAGAGATTATGATACTGATGATGACGACGACGAAGATTATAACGAAGATGAAGATGTTGATGACGATTACTAGACAGCATTTCATCAGACTCTCGTGCTTTTAAGTGTATATATAGAGAAAATATAGTTATAACTATGACTCAGGCGTAATATAATCAAATGTAATATTTCTGAAAAAGAATGAATCATTATTTATTACAATTGTAAATGATTGTTGATTGTTTACATGCATACAAAAAGTACCTGTAAATAGCAAAAATTTGCCTATATGAACAATGCCGGTATTTATATTGTTTCAACATCGTTTTGTTTGTTTCAGTACCGACTACATGAAATATAACCAAGTTCTGGAACTCCAGGGCACCAAAACTATGTTGGAAGTATATCATGCTGTTGTTTCATCAAGATCTTCTGCTTCCAGATTAATTATACCAACAAAGTCATCAGACGGGAGTCCTCACACAGTCGTAATTCGGAGTACAATTGTATACATAATAAATACAATTGTATCTTAAATAAAATTTGCTACTATGTATAAAATAATAGTGATGCAACTTCAGCCTTATATTCTTTACCTGTGTATATATCCACAAATAATCTTGCTGCAGTATTGGCGATAAAAAGAAGAGTAACAATACATGATGTCACTCCTCTATCGTCCTCATACACTGAACAAACACACACACTGGCTGAATATTCAACTTACATGGAATAATCATCATTATTTGCATTCATTTAGCGATCAAAAAGGGAAAACTTCCGTCAGGCTGCGTTCAGAGTGAAACTTAAATGTCACAAGGAATAAAATACGGAAATTTCATTCACACCTGCGACACAGGGTTTAAGCCGCATACACTTAGAGAAGATAAATTTGCGCATGCGTGGATGTGTTTACAGCTTTCCCGCTCTGTTTACCCATTCAGGTTTCACGCGTTCGCTCTGATTGGTCGAAGCTTGTCCCAATTTGGTATAATGTGTAAAACTTCGAACTTTATACCAAGAGCCCTAAACCAGATTTTGTGACGTAGCACAGACTGGTTGCCTGTCAACGTAGGTGGGCTTAAACAGTACTAGGAGGTACTGGCTTAAACCGCTTATGCTCTTTATACCATCATCTGCACCATTCCACTCAAGAAGAGGGCCCACCAGCAGCCGATCGGTAAAGTCGCTGAACACTGGTAGTTCGGTCCGAGGTTCGAATCCCGCGAACGGGCTGGCTGCATGGGCGTTTTCGTGGTTTTACCCATGTGTAACGTGTATACGAGCCAGTTTTCCTTAGAAAGTCCTCCACGAAGGCATCCCTCCCCTTAGACAGATAGCCCTAGTGTGCTTTGCCATAATTAAACACACCACACCACTCAAGAAGAATAGCGCATTATTACTCCAGCAGTGTAATCATTGCAGTTTGGATGAAACAGATTCAGAAAAATAACAAACAAATAAATAAAATTAAAAGGTTTTTATAAAATAAGTTTTGATTTAAAACTCATAAAATATTTAATGAATGAATAGTGGGAAAATAATTTATCATATAGTTTAATGGATTCAAGAGATTAAATAATTATCTTTCAGGTTATTTAGATCCACAATTTTCGTGCTTCCGGAAGCTTTTCTTCATAACGTTAATTTTTTTAATAAATTAAATTTATTTAATTAAAAAAATAAATAAAATAAATTCAAATCTTAATAAGAGATATATTTTTGGGTGATAGAAGTCTCATAAAAGAATATAACAATGCATATTCTAATAAAATAACCAAATTTTAAACTGAAATCCTGAGAAGAAAGAGTATATAGACTTATGAAATGAAAAAATGAAAAGATTGTGACGCAGATTATTATCTTAATCTTGTAACATTTCCTGACATTGCCAAAAGAAGAAGGGATTTTGTGCCACAGTGTAGCAGCTATTTTGGGGAAAAAAGTAAAAAATCACCCAATTAATAGTTTTTATAATTCTTGTATTGAAAGCCAGCGAAGAGTTTGTTTTATAATCTGTGAAAATTTCAAACTTTTGCAACCAATGCATTTTAGGTATTTAAATTTTAAAATCCTAAACGTCAACTAGGCGAAAAGATCAGGCCATTTTCGAAAATTCGCCAAAGAGTTGGAAACAATGTTAGAAATTTAATATGAATTTCCTTTAAAAGAATTTAGAAAGTTTATTCGTTAAACGAAGATATGTGCGAAAAATCGCTTAAACATTTAAAATTTAAAAAATCTAAATTGAATTTTGAAAACATCACTTCACGGCATTGCATTGTCATCCACAATGAAGCTACTTAATTAACTAATACTTACTTAATTACTAAATACTAATTTACTAATTTTTAAAAAGAGTTTATTTCGGCTTGAAGAAAACATCACTCTACCTATTTATGATGATAATAATAATAATCTGTGTATTAAAATATTATACTTTTGCTGTAATACACCCCTTTCGAGGAAAAAATCTTGTTACATTTATTTAGTTTTATTTCTTATTTACTGTAATCTTCATAAAATGGTATGAGCGTGGGTTAAATTCAGTTAATTCTTTTAGGTTGAAAGTTTTTCCATATATATTAGCTTTATAGTAATGGTTTGAATCTATTTTCTCACTTAATTTGAGATTTTATTTATTAGAAATCATAAGTATGCAGGTAATTTTAATTTGTTGAATAAAAAATCAAACAGAAAATTATGTATCCTGCTTAGACCACAAGATCCAAGCTTGAACCTATATTTCAGAAGACCTCAATTTCCTCATGGCGCTGCTTTTCTGTCGCAGAAAAAGAAAATGAGATGGGGGGGGGGACCCTGAAAAACGCTGAGACTTAATCGAGCTCCATGAACAATAATTAACATTTATTCTTACTACACCAAAGCCTAAGTTATCAGTTCCGTTACACCCACCGAAGTTACAGACAGTGAGGTTCATGTGTCTGGATATTATGCAAAAAATAAGTTACAAGAGAAAAATTAGTTCTAAAAATATTTCTTATATCCATCATATAATTGATTAGTCTAAATCAGTTACTACATTGAGCTGAAGACTGAGAAACAAAAACAAAGCATTCCAAAATTTGTATACAAGGTGTACCATAAATGTTGCGACAAGCTTCTAGAGGAAGCATTGCATATCATAACGATTAAGAATTGCATAGGAACTCATGCCCGGAAATGTCAGGGGTATGTGGTAACAGGTAGAAGATGGCAAAAGCAACATGAGTGATTAATTGGAAACATTTATTGGACATGAATACAAATGGTGTACCACAGCTTGAATGTTACAAAAGATGCTCGACGTTTGCAACCTCAGACGCCAAATATGCCTGACATCGACATTTATTGACGGATATGTTCAAACACACCGGGAATTTCTTTGATTGTAGCAGCTGCGCAGGCGAGCCTTGCCCCGAGATCCATTTCAGACACAACATGATCGTGATACATGACACTTTTGATGGCTTCCCACAAAAAGAAATCAAGCCTCGATAAACCTGGTGAGCGTGGGGGCCAGGGAACTGGTCCACCACGCCCAATCCATCGATGCGGGGAATGATCTGTTCAAATGGCTACGAACATCCAATCCAAAATGAGTCAACTTCTTAAGGACCCGTAGTCGCACAAATTTTGATGCAAACGTGCAAACAAACTGTGGTATGTTTGATACCGACGGACCATTGATTGCCGGACATGCTCAAACACACCGGGAATTTCTTTGACTGTAGCAACTGCACAGGCGTGACACAACAACTGCGCAGACACAACAGGATCGTGATACATGACACTTTTTAATGGCTTCCAACAAAATGAAATCAGGGCTCGCTAAATCTGGTGAACGTGGGGGCCAGGGAACTGGTTCACCACGCCCAATCCATCGATGCGGGAATGGTCTGTTCAAATGGCTACGAACATAAAGTCCAAAACGAGCAGGGGCCTCATCATGTTGGAATCACATGTTGCGTCTCACATTTGGTGAAACATCGTTCAAGCAAATCGGGAAGAACCTGTTCCAGAAAGATCAAATAATTCGCGGCATTCAAATGGTCCTTTGGTGTCAGGCATGTTTGGCGTCTGCAAACTTCGAGCATCTGTTTATAACATTCAAGCTGTTGTACACCATTTGTATTCATGTCCAATAAATGTTTCAAATTAATCACTCTGTTTCTTTTCCCATTTTCTACCTCTGCTACCACTTACCCCTGACATTTCCGGGTATAGGTTCGTATGCAATTCTTACTCCTTATGATGTGTCCTACCTCCCCTAGAAATTTGTCGCAACATTTACGGTACACCCTGTATATTACAAGAATGTAGAAGCTGCTGAAGTAAACAAAAGAAAAACACATTAAAAGCAAATACAAATATTATGGAAAGCAGTGATTCAAAGCTGAACCAATGACTTGCATGGACCAGTACACGACAATTCTTACATTTTGACTGGTTGACTAAAATATTTGAGCTCCTTGTGTAAGTGTTTTTTGATAGGTCTGGCAGATTTCATTCTGTTTTCCCCTTTAGTATATAATCCTTTAGTATATTACAGAATTCTTGCATTATTAAGTTTTAAAATGTACACATTTATAAAGTACATTACTACAGATGCATGGAGAGACTTTAATCTGTAAATTCTAAATATGAGTTAATGAAGGTAATTTTCGAACTTTATTTGAAAATAACAAATCTTCTATTTGCTAACCTGCGAAACTACAGGAAATATGTTCTGTAAAAATAAGGTCAGATCGAAAATGAAAGAAGCAACTGAACTCTCAGTTATCAGTGAAAGATACAAAAATAATTCAAACATTGGACCTCATCGCAGCTGCGTTTTCGTTCTCAAAGATAATAAAAGATAATTCACCAACGAAACTCTGATTAAAATGGCTGTTTCCTATTTCTTCTGAAATTTGTGGGTATCAGTATCAGTTAAATGTATTGTAAAATAATGACAGACGGAACTAAATGTAAATGAGTGAGCACTGTAAGAATAGTAAGCAGAAAATAAAATGTTATAAAAAGTCTTATAATACTTCCCTTAAGTGTGTTTTATCAAGGATTCCACTTTCTAAGAATCTGAAATGGTGAAAATTTGTGCTTAAAGTACAATACCTATTCTAAAATACAAATTTATTTAAATTTATTTTTTTAACTTTGAAAAGGCATTTGCAGGAGGTTAAAAGAGGCATTATTTTAGAAAAATTAAAATGTCTGCTAAGTAGTCTACTCAAATATTCGCTGGAAAAAAATATATGTTTTTTTTAACAAATATTTTTCAGCAGTTCTTACTTAGAATATACCCTTTGACGTTTGTGAAAGGACTGACAGATGCAAATAGATAAATTTAAGACATAAGTCATGAAATTCGGCTTTAGTATGGTATTTCTTAAACGCCTCTATACTCTATATTTTTAACGGGGTTTGTTTTTTCCATAAATATAGTCGCTTTTACAAAGTACAGCGACTTCAAAAATTGAGAATTTCCACTAAATACAAGAAAGCTTATTTAATTTAGCAAATTTCAAACAAAAGACATAAAATTTTATGATCCTGCACAAACGCTTGGGTATTTGGTTGTATATATACATAAAATTACACACATCATATTAAAATGGGTTCATTTCGGAAGTTTCAGAAAGCTGTTACACAATTTTTACGATAAAAAAATTTGAACAATACATTTCTGAACAAAAAAAAAAAAAAAAAAAAAGAGTTTAACTAACTTTTTTATAGCTACAGATTTAGGCTAAATTCGTATCATCACTGTACTAACCATTGTTTATTCCTCGATGCAATCTCTTTGTTACATGTGATTTTAGGAAATAAAATGAAATCTTGAAAGTAAATCATTGCTGATATTATAAGATATTTCTCCAGCCTTCTTAGCATGCCTTCGTGGTGTAATGGGCGGCACACTCGGCGCGTATTCGAGAGATCCGTGCTTCGAGTCCCGGAGGCATATTTCACAAGTGCACATCTGTGTAGCCACCGAGGGAGTGGCTTCTAGGATGGACCAATGAGCATCCAGTAATATTTCTGTCGTGTCACATGACCTTTCGCACGCTTTAAGATTTCAGCAAGGTGGTTGAAAATATTTTTCCACGCAATTTCCTTTACAAATTTCTGTACATCGTCTATTTCTTCTGAAAATTTTCATTGTGAAGTTAGATCAATTATAAGCAATTATAAAGATTTCACTACCTGGTTTGAAAGAATTTGAAATAAATACACACACGAAACTATTTTGCAAAAATATTCATGCGAAATATTACTTAATAAGTGACAAATAAGACGTAAGAAATATGTGATACACATCTGAGTCCAAATGTTATCTTTACATAAAACTATGCATATGAGATAAATATTTACACCAGTTATATATGTAAATAGAAGTCAGCACTTTTTATTGCAGTCTATATGAAAAAGATGTTCTATAATAATAGCGAATGCAGAATTTTATTCAAGGTGAACTTCACTAATTTGCATTTAGTGTGTTAAATTTCACATTTAATAACTGCTCACTCCTAAATATCCTGTTTACGCAAGAAATACTCATAAAACAGAATGAATTTATCTATTAACAACGAATACATTCAATTTACTCACATATGACTTTTAATGTTAACAATGGATATAATTAGATCATACACAATATGTATTCTGAATCTTACACTGTCAAAATCAAAAGAATGCAAGCACTGAAATAGGAAAACATTCATTGTAACACTTCCAGTCCTTCTCAGTTCAATAAAAAATAATAAAAAAAACTATACACATGAATTCTCTTAATTCACATTTGTTAGTAAATGTGGATTAAGAGAATTCGTATTCGAGGCTAATTGTAGCTTGAGTCATTTTCTGAGTATAAAGAACGATAATATGCCGTGAACATTAATCCAAATATCGATGCATGATAAAAATCGCGAAAGTGAAATCTCAGCGATTAATTAAACTCATAAATCGAAAGCACTACGAGATTTTCTACTTTTATGCCATACATTTATAACTGCGAAACAAATGCAAATTAAAATGTAAACAACATACGCTCACATGCACGAAGATTTAGCGTCACAAGAGCAAAAGAAGCTCATTGGTCCATTTTCGAAACCCCTCGCTCAGTGGCTACGTTGATGTGCACTTATGAAATATGCGTCCCGGAGAGGTCACTGCACAATTTTCACCTCTCCTGTTTAAAAACAAAAAACAATGTCTCTACAGTGGCACCCGAACTAAAAGAATAACTAACGATATTGTTTATTTCATATTTTGTAAAACTTTAACGAATTTTTGATTAAAAATTCAGCAGTTTCAAAGTTAGTAGTTGCAACACTGTAGAGAAGGAAACATTTTTATCTCCAGCTCGCGAAACTGTCTAAGGGAAATTCTGAAGATATGCCGTTTTTACGTGGGGTGTATTTAATTATGGCCATACACACTCGGGCTATCTGCCAAAGGGGAAGGATGCCTTCGTGGAGGACTTTCTAAGGGAAACTGGCTCGTATACACGTTACAGATGGGGAAAATCACGAAAACACCCATGCAGCCAGCCCGTTCGCGGGATCCGAACCTCGGACTGAACTACCAGTGTTCAGCGACTTTACCGCTCGGCCGCTGGTGGGCTATGCCGTTTTTAAATATTTTTAGCCCAATGTGACGTTAATCCAAATGCTCTCGAGTATGTGTGTGTAAATGAAAAAAAAGCCCATTTGGGCGTAATATAAAATCTCAAAGGTTTCAAATTTTTTATTTATTTATTTATTGTGTGTGTGTTTTTATGAGACATTTTATACGTATTTAATCCCAAATAATTTGCTTACTTACCCAGATATAAGGTGAAAACACCGAATTCCATTGAAAAGGCATCCACGTAAGCATTTCTCTTAAAGCTTTATTCTCAAGAGTTTTGTGACAACAAATAAGCTTAAAATTTTAAAGGTAATAGGATTTCTTTAATTATTTTATAAATAAACATGTGAGCTAACGCAGGAATCATATTTAATTTAGGAATCTTAATATCCTATGAAATAAACATAAGTGCTTGAACGTTATAAATGCATTTTGAATTCCATAGAACCTAATATATTCGATCTCTTTAGATCTGAATCCTGAGTCAAAGGGTGTATGCCTTTCTTTTACTTTACAGCTCATTGTTCTTTTATTTCGAGAAAATCACGAGTTTTCCAGGTACAGGGTTAAGAAAAAAAGATATTATCACAATTATCAGAGAAGTTTGCGAATGATTTCAAAGGACTGTATGTAACTGGTTACTTTTTATCGCTAGGGGAAATTGAATATTTCTTTATAGACTCAGCTCTCAAAAGGTGTGATAAAGGCGTATTTTATCTTACAACGATAGACTGCGAGCTGTTATTGATATTGCAAAGAGGCAGAATTTTCGGTACTTTACCGCCATTTTTAGAAATAACATGGCGACAAAAATAGATAAAGTTTTGCTGTGTGTTTTGCTTATAACTTTTGGCATAAAAGGTAAATATTTTAATTTTGATCTTCCTCCTGTTTTCCACCTAACAGTTTACTATACTGACACCCTATTGCTTATATGACATTCTACTACACTGAATTAGAAACACATTGGTTAGAATAGATTTCTAATGTTTCATGTATAATAAGACGGTGGAACTAGAAAATATTCTTTTTTTAAATCTATATAACATTTCCACTGCGTAAAAATACTAATACTTAAATTATATGTTGTTATTTTTATATGCATTTAAATAATTTTTATAATGTAATTACTTTTTCTGTATATTTTAAAATACCTAACTGAAATATTTACGACATATCTTCTTATTAAGCAAAGAAAAAACAAAAGGGTAGCGCAGGAAAATGCGGTGCTTCATTACGAAGCCTTTTTTTTTTTCCCTCCTGAAATGTTTTGGGTGTTTTTTATAGATTTTGCATAGTTGAATATCATTTTAGCATAATGGAAGTTTTCAATATCAGTTTTTGTGAGAGAATGAAGATAAAACTAATAAGTGATTATTTTTTTATCGCAGACAGATCTTTAAATAAGAAAATTTAATTAATCATAACTACATATAAGACAAATTAAATTATCCAAACCTGTACCTTTGCTTTATTACTTTGTTTTACCTTTTGTAAGACACTCAAGTTTCTGATTAAGAATCCGACAGTAATCAGCCGTTAAAGTTGGGTTCGATATTTTCGATTCATTTTCTTTTTCAACCAATAACATCGTGATGAAATCGGAAACTGAGGATATATAAGTTAAAAGAAATAAAGAATTTTTTTTCATATAATCCTCACACTTTTCTAATTTCTTCTTTGCTTCAGAGATGCTAACTTTCTGAAATGTATCCCAAGCATTCTTAATTCCTCTATTTCATACCAACTGCCTGTGATGTAAAGCTTTGAAAAAATTGCCTAATTTGTGTCAGAGGAAAAATTTATTTGCAACAGGAAATTTCTCTTGTCAATGAAAGAATCCATTTTATTCTTTATATGCAGCTGTAGCAAATACGTTAATGATACACAGCTGTAACAGAAGCTGTGACAAATAAGTTAATGATATTTTCACAGCAGGTTCAATATTTTCATGTAGATATTCGGGTGTCACTTTTTGGATGATATTTGCTGGATTTTTCCATTTGCATAAGTAACAGTATTTGGTGAAGTCTACTTGAAGCTCTGTCAATAATGCCAACCTTTGAATCAAAACAGGGATTCCGCTTTCTTTCTTCATAACTGTGTAATCGTAGGCCCACCAGCGGTTGAGTAGTAACGTTGCTGAACACTGGTAGTTCGGTCCGAGGTTCGAATCCCGGGAACAGGCTGGCTGCATGGGCGTTTTCGTATTTTCCCATGTGTAACGTGTATATGAACAAGTTCCCTTTAGAAAGTCCTCCACAAAATCATCCCTTCTCTTAGGCACATAACCCTCGAGGCTTTACCGTACTCTTATAAAAAATAATAAAATAAACAAATAAAATAAAATAAATCTGAAAAGTTTCAGATTTTAAATTACGTCCAAAGGGGCGTTTTTTTAACGTTTTGTGTGTAACCTTTATTTATTAAATATCATGTTCTTTGCACTTAAACCATAAAATTCAGTTCAATAGCAATGTCTCAAAATAATTTTAAAATGAGCATATCTTTAAAATTTCCGATACGCAGTTCCGCGCGCTGGAGATAAAAAGGTCCCTCCCCCCAGTAAAGTGTTGCCATTGCTCGCTTTGAAATCCTTGAGTTTGTTAATCAAAAAATTCGTTAAAGTTTTACAAAATATGAAATCGATCATAAAACAAATTCCTAATTTCAAATTTGGACTTCCACATGCCCATATTCGTAGGAGGATTACGTGATTCAAAATTCGATCGCTCTGTGTACCGTTGTTTTATCACAATGCGAGAAATATACCTACATTTCTGCAGATTTTTCATTATTTAATTTCTTCAAATATAATGCAGGACTCTAAAATTTGGTGGGAACAGTTTGAAAAATGAAACGGACATTTATAGTGATTCAACGCAAAATCGCAAAACGAAAACAATAGTCCTTCAGGGACAAAGCCCCTTTGGACTAAAAAAATTGTATATTCTTAAGTAATTTTCAAATAAATTTTCGAACATTTTCATCCTTGTAAAATAAACAATATAAATAAAAGATAATACATTTAAATTAGGAATTAAGACGATGGATAAACATCTTTCGGAATATTAGTGAAATGTTCCGGGTAACATGATATCTTAAAAACACTTAACAAGCTTTGATTATCATTACAATAATATTTTCAATCAAAATTATTAAAATTTCATTTTTTTTTTATTTGGTACGGAAACACATGCATTTTTGGTGCCTCTTTAATTACCATATCTCTCCGGGTATTTTCTCCTTTTTTGGTTTGAAAAATTTATTGTCGCAAAATTGAAAGGAGAAATTTATGCGAATAAGTCTATATCCGGAAGGCGCGGTTAAAAGTAATACCATAAAAAATGAAAAGTAATCATGGATAAACTACAGACTATTTTATCACAATATTATTTCTTTAAAAGAAAACTACATTCCGACAAGACTACATAGTAATATTTACATTACAATGTATAATAACATAGCTTTATTTCTACTTCTCTGTAACTTGAATATTGCTCAGTGTCTGGGATACTTCTGAGGCCTCGATTCACCCATAAATAATTACAGAAGATATACAGGGTTAGCGTAAATGATTCATTCATTTTGAAAAGGCTATATTTTCAAAAATATTACGGGTACGCACATGAAAAATATATGAAAAGAACCACATACTCACCAAGTTTTTTTCACTATTTCACCAATTTTCTCGGATAAATGGAAGGTTGCTTCATCGATGAGTATCATCTGGGAGGCGAAATCTTCGTCCCCCAATGTTGACGCAAAAATCTAGTCGATGGGTTTAATTCTCCTGCTTTAATTGTTGCAGGAGCTAAACATAGTACGGTTTGAAATGCAATCGTTGACGCAAAATCTTCCACACAGTTTTTCATGGTATTCCGAAAATCTGGTCAATTGACAGGGAGAACATCTGGACGAGCTCGATTATCGTCTAGACGTTGTGTCATGCCACCAAAGGGTAAAGTGACCACATTTTCATTGAGACAAAGCGGGACAAATGGAATGAAATGAGAATTATAATTTAGTTATGAAAGCATACCAATAATTCAAAAAAATATATTTCATTATATACATCCATATACTTGTCTCTAAATATACAAAAATATATTTATTATTAACTATGGTAACTATAAAAATATTGTAAAAAAACAATAGTTTGAATAGTATGTTTTTTTAAATTATTTAATATTTTATTTAAAAAAATTATGATGTTCTTCACCGTCATATTTTTTTATCCGAGTGAATACTTTGCAATAGATTCGAAACATTTATTAAAATGTCGTGAAATTTCTCACATGAATTAGTCAAATTATATTTTAGGCTTAATACAGATTTTAAAGTTTTAATGTTCAGCTGGCGTTTTTTCAATTGCCCATATTTTATTAATACTAGAAAAAACACATTCTGTTGCTGTATTTGTTCCTGGAAGGGAGAGTGCGTGATCTATAATTTTCAAAATATTTTCATAAGGAATATCATTCTGTTTAAAATGAAGGAATAACTCTGTCGACCTTTTTGTCTGTCTCCACATTTGCAGACAACCAACATTTAATTTTTTCAGCAGTAACTTATCTTTTTAACCAATGACACTTCATCAAAAAGATCATTTTCGAAAATATTATTGTGCGGAAAATGGTTGCTTATACATTCAAAAGATTTTTCCACATATTACCGTAATATCTCCTTTTTTGAATGTCCCCCAATGAAAGTTTTTAATATCCTCGAATTGAACTATCCATTCTTCAAGATATTCCAAGCAGTTATATAAAAATTTCTGAGTTCTTTCAGAAATTCTGATTGTTTAATGGCACCTTGTTCTTCCAACCTAGTGATGTCCTTTCGAATAACTGGCCCACCAGCGGCCGAGCGGTAAAGACGCTGAACACTGGTACTTCGGTCTGAGGTTCGAATCCCGCGAACGGGCTGGCTGCATGGGCGTTTTCGTGGTTTTTCCCATGTGTAACGTGTATACGAGCCAGTTTCCCTTAGAAAGTCCTCCACGAAAGGCATCCCTCCCTTTAGGCAGATAGCCCTCGTATGCTTTGCCATAATTAAATACACCAACACCAACCTTTCGAATAACTAAAAGGAACGTGATCGTTATCAATTCTTTTCTCGCAATTTTGTTTTTAATTTATTGATATCATTTGACACTTCCGTAGTTGAAATTTTGTCCCCTTCAATAATTTTCACATCATTGTGAAATAATATAGCTTGGTTGTGGATGAAGTGAAGCCAAATTTGTGAGGTTTCATTTTCAAAAAAGCTGCAATATTCTTGGACATTTATCTTGTGATAAAAAGTATGATTTATTGGTTCGTATATTTTTTAAATTCACCCGACAATGAAACAAAATCTAATATTCTCATTTTAATTCCTGTTTCTGGATCAAAAAGTGTAACAATTGTGGGAAATAATTTTAAATCTTTGTGGTTGGAAACATCATAATACATGGACATAAAATGTGCATTTATCTAATTATTTCTGCAATTGCGAAAACGAATATGGTGAAAAAACATTACAAATAATTGCTTCGGTTTTTGTCCTTGCACATGCAAATTTTTGTCGTACAGTGTTTTGATCATTTGCGACGTACAATCAATTGACTTGAAACTTTGATTGTGGTTTATGGTGTGGAAAGCAAATAGCCCTTCAGCTAATGATCCTCCGTGAACAATACATATTCCTTTATGAGACGTAACGACAATGATCGAACACCAGCGAGTAAATCTAACTCGTTACATCGCCTATTTAGTTTACTCTGCATGCATTTTATGTGTTTTTTTTTTTAATTATTTCTTTATATTCACTATAATAATTAATAAATAATAGGTAATATATTTTTACAGTACATTTAAAATAAGAAATGTAGATGTTTTCTAAAAAGCGGAGCATTTAAAAAAAAAGGTGGGTCGCGGGACAGTCCTCCAAAGAGCGGGACTGTCCCCCCAAAATCGGGATGTGTGGTCACTTTACCAAATGGGCACATACTGACTATTTGTGGAGGCTGTATAAACTTGGTGAGTTTGTGGATCTTTTCATATATATTTTATACGTGTACGTAAAATATTTTTTTTTAAATATGGCCTTTTCAAAACGAATGAATCATTTATGCTAACCATGTATATGCAGCTGATTCAGCGGAATTATGGACTGAATATCAGTTCTTGTTTATTTCGCTGTGACTGATCGGTTTTTGTGTTAAGTTGGTATAAAGTTTAAGAATTAGATGGGAACGTTTCTGAATGACCTTTATAGGTAGTTTGCTAGGGTTTGTTTTTGTTAATGAAACGAAAAGAATCACTATATAGACGAATCACTTTAAAATGTAGGCCAACTTGTTCTCTGAATGCATCGAGGAAGGGGGGGGGAATTGCACGAATATTTTTTTTAATTTTCAGAACTTAGCGTTAAAAAACTAGGGGGTAAAATACGGGAGTAAATACGATAGAAGCTTTGAATTCAAACCTTTTTATTAGGTCAGAATTGAAAAATAAATGCATGACTCGTGTTTACAAATTACACTTGCTTCGATGTAAATTAAACTAATAGTAAATTCAAATTTAAAACTAAATCTAAGGCTACGCAAATGATTTAACACGAAGTTGGCTCAAACTTGTCACCGGTTTAATAATTTGAATGTTTGCAACTATAATTCAAACCTGAAGAATGCAATCTTATCTGAGTTCGCTAATTCTAGTAATGTGACATCAAGAGGTAGAAACACGCTCTGTCTTACAATTCAACAACCTCGGCTTAAATACTCAATCTAAATTGTGTTCCGGTAGGAAAACGGAAAGAGAAGTAACAGTAAAGATCTAAATCATAAAATAACTGATTAGATTAACATAATCGAAAGATATAAGTTCCATATTTTCTACTTAAGATTGCCCTTTTGCCAGAAAAGTAACTTTCTTCTCAAAAACCGTGTATGATGCAGAGATTTTAAAGCCAATTTCATATTAAAGTAAATTTAAGAATTAACGCAGATTAAGCATCTGTTTCACAGAGATAATTTCCCTGTAGAACCCTGAAATTAATTAATCATTTCGAATCATATGGTATCATTAACGTAACTTCCAAACTGTTGATGTTTTTTCTCTGTTACTACAACAGTTATCCATTTTTAAATAAATAAAAGTAAGAGATATTTTTCTTAATTTTCTTCCATTGATAACTTTCAACAAAAACAAGTTTGTTTACAGAATCTAATGCAGCACCATTCACATGTTTCTGATTAATATACTTTTCACATTTTCATGTGGTTTCATCTCTGAAATATACTGAAACGTTCCACTTCATATTAACAGTAAAGTCCTTATTTTATTTACACAACGCAAAATATCTGGTATGACGAGTCGTTTTCGTCTAAGTATTTATCAGTGTTTGTTTTCGCTGCTGTTTCTGAGTGTTATTTTTTTTCCTTCATTAGTACCCACATAAAAATAGATAGAGTTATGTGGGAGACGTAAGATACCTTGGAATGGTTGGTGGGAGGGGAAGAAGAGGTTTATAAGGTATTTTCTTCCTCCTTTCTGCATGCTTTCGTGGTGTATTTGAAGTAGCATACTCGACGCGTATTCCAGATGTTCGAGTTCCGGTGAGGGCATTGCTCATTTTTCGTGTTTCCTAGTTTAAAAATCCTAAAGACTCTACAGTGGCGCCCGAACTAAACGGTGGTGGATAATGACTCTTCGCCACCAGGATTTGGCGACTGGGTTCCCTAATCCCAGTCGCCTTTTAGAAGGATAAGTATATAAGGAATTTTCTTCTTCCTTTCTGTATGCCTTCGTGGTGTAATTGGAGAAGCATACTCGACTCGTACTTGAGAGGACCAGGTTCGGCAAGGGCATTGAAACCCTCGCCGAACCTGACATTGAAAAACTTCTAATTACTTTACACCAGGCGTCGACAACCTTTCTCGGCTGTGGGTCATAACCAACCAATATATGTGTATTAAGAACACGTTTCGATTCAGGGGTATTTTCACCATAAAACATTCTTTTTTGGTGAATAACAAGATAAATTCTGAGAAAAGAATTACAATACGCTTTAAAGGTAAAAATTTAAATTTAATAATACTTATTATCAGAGCAAATACAACTGAATGAACTTAGTAATTTTTCTCTTCGATATCAATGGCTCCCCTGATGCTGTACTTGTGACGTCAATTTAGTCAAATTTGGCTTATAGTTAGTAGTCTTTAAGACGAATACAAACATCTGAATTGTTGGTAGTTAAGCTGTTCCTCTTCTTCAAGTAAATTTCCCGTGTGAAAATATTTGCTTGTATTTTTAATTTGAACTGAATGCGGCAAAATAGCAAATTTTGGGATTAGTATGGATTGTGAATCAGCTTTGCCAAATTTACCGCTTTCTCCTTGGAATTATGTTACAATTTTTAAAAATGAATGTTCTTTACTGCAGCTTTATAATCAAACAAAAATGTTATTGTTATTATTTCTTTTCGGTCTATTTTTATGCATTCCACCAGGTCGTTTCATATTTATATTTTATAATTTATTTTTATATATTATACTTTACTTTTGGAACTCAAGCGGGTAACATGAAATTATGAAACGAGTCATTCGGTGACCTGTGGGTCATGTTCTACATCCGAGGTCTGCTCTATACATTAATCTAGCGTAGCAGAATTTTGGCACCTGTCGAATAGAATATTTTCGAGGGTTTCTCTTGAAGAAACAACCTTTGAACATCAGAACGTAGGTGTATTGCTACTAGTGCTCCAAGTCATTCAAAGACGAGAAAACTGCTTTCACAGATGCAACACGACATTTAGATGCAACAAATGTCACAGAAATTTGCTTTTAATTATTGATTATTACGTAAATAACCGTACCATATGCCTTTTGTCTGGTATCTGAGAAGCACTGGATCTCTATCAAATCAAATTCGGGGTTAGAAATAATTCTGGAACTGTAATCTCACTCAGATGAGTATACTCACAGCAACACTTTGCCCACTCTTTATGGATATCTATAGGAAGTTTGTCATTCCAGGTCAATTTTCGAACCCAACGTTATTGTAGTAAGAACTTCAGTCTAACAGGGAACTGAGTTATTAACCCAGAGGGGTCAAACGGCGTTTTCAAGATGAATCGTTTCGTGTTTCTCTTATTTTCGATGAATTCTATCAAACTACTTGTGTCTGTGTTCAAACTGTCTTATTCATTGGACCTTAAGTGTCTCGTCTGAATCATGGATTTCATGATGATAGGTTTTGAACTCTTCTCCACACTTTTTCATCAGTTCAGGATTATTATATCCTTTTACGCAAGTTCTTCTTTCCTTCCTAATTTATTTAGCATTCATTATCATATTAGCTGAAGATGAAGCATTCACTATAAGCTTAGAATCATCTCTACGGTGTTGTGTTCTGTAATCCTAAGTTTGCACAAAGAAATCACAGATTCATTCTATGAAAAATTAAAGAAGACCCAAAATTTAGTAATGTAAAATTATCAAGCAGGTTTAGAAGAATGGTCTGCAATAAAAGCTGAAGCGTTTTAGAAGAGATATGTAGGGCTCATGGAAACAAAGGGCGATTATCAAGAAGGAATTTCTCCGTTAACAAGAAACAAGAAACATACGCTTGACTTTCGCAAAATCTACAGTAAGCAACTATGTTATACACTCATTACCATAAAAATTTGAGCACCAAGAAAGTGTTGTCAGAATGAAACGAAATTTTACATATATAAGTTCTACTTTGATATAAGTAAGTGATTAGAAAATCAAGGAAAAAAGGATAATTTATTGCAGAAAAAAGTACACATGAACGGAAGTTTTAATACTCTGTTGGACCACCTCTAGCGCGAATGCACGATGCGATAGGAGGGGGCATTGAGGCATGCAAGTTCCGTATGGTATCTTGAGACATCTCGTTCCACAGTTGCTGTAAACTCGCCTCTAATTCGGCCAATCTCGTAGGCTGTTCAACTTGCCGTCCCAAATGACCCCAGATATACTCGACTGGTGACAAATCTGGAGATCGAGCATGCCAGGTAAGAGTGATAATGTAGCGGAGGCAGTCTTGTGAGATCCGTGCTGTGTGTGGCCGAGCATTGTCTTGTTGAAAACAGGCTCCTGGGAACCCTGCTATGAGTGGCAACACAGGTGGCCGAAGAATGTTATGATACAGTTGTTCTGAATTTATCAAAACATCTCCAATTTCTACGGATTTAAAACCTATGAAGCATGTGTGGAGTGGGTTAGAGAAAAGAATAAGGAAATTAATGCTCATTACTGCTTAATGTAAGGGGGAAAACACTTCAAATTGAAACAAGCAAAAGCTACCTTAGCTTTTCGTTGATTTTATAGTTTATAGAATTCTTTTTATTCAACTGAAACTGATACAGGTCCCTTTTCTTCAAGGTATAAAACTGTTTTGCAGAACATTTCTCAAAATGCAATGTTTATTTTCCTAAAACCAATCTAAGGTTGAATTCTATCAAACTTTACTAGTAAAGTAATTACACGTTATTTCTAACATTTTATTATTGTATCGTCTGTTGTGTGGTAATATTTTACTATTTGTTACTTTCCCACTGTTATTATATGTAATTACTTTCATATGAAATATGGAGTTTAAAATAAACAAATATATTCCTTTTATAGGGCCCATTTCAGCTGAAAAATATGCACAAACGAATGGTAACAATACTGGAAAGACTACTGCTGCTTCCAGTAGTAGCAATGCCGCAAATACTACTACCACTACTCCACTGCCTTCTAATAGCACTGCCGAGTCCCGAAACATAACTGGATCTACTAACGCTACTACAGTGCCTGCGACCAGCCCAACTGCATCTCCTAACATCACTACTTCATTACCTTCTAACAGCACAACTGGATCGCCTAACACTACTACAATACTTTCTAATACCACTACTTCATTACCTTCTAAAAGCACAACTGGATCTCCTAACACTACTACAATACTTTTTAGTACCACTACTTCATTACCTTCTAACAGCACAACTGGATCTCCTAACACTACTACAATACTTTCTAGTACCACTACTTCATTACCTTCTAACAGCACAACTGCATCTCCTAACACTACTAAATCTTCCAGCAGCACTACTGGATCTCCTTACACTACTACAATACTTGCCAACACCACTACTTCATTACCTTCTAACAGTACAACTGCACCTCCTACCACTACTTCATTGCCATCTACCGGCACTACTGAGGTACCGAGCAGTACAATAACTACTTCAGCCAAGCCTACAACTTCAACTTCCATTCCTCCAACAAAAAAGCCCCCCATGCCACCAGGTACGGTGGCTGCTATTGTTATCGTGGTCATTGTGGTGGTAGCTTTGATTGGAATTGCCATTTACTGGTTTATGAAAAAAAGACACGGAGAAGAAGACAGGACACCTCTTACGAGAGGACTGCCAACATAGAAAAGAATTTCCAGCGAATTCAAATTAAAACTGGCAATGAAAAAAAAAATTAATGCACTTAAGTTATCTGTATCGCAAAGCTGGACTATTTATATTTGTTTTATGTATATTAATGTGTAAAAGACTTTTCATTCTTAGATATATGTGTTTAAATGCAAATGCGTAATATACTGATTATAAAATACTGACTTCGGCACTGAAAACGGAGGTGACAGTTAATATAACCATTTTTTTCTTTTGATAGTCTTACACGATTAAGTGAAAAAGATGAAACTTCTTTATTTGCATTAAAGGCATTTCTTCTTGTATCATAAATAAATTAATGTAAATAAATTCTAAATGTAATAACTTCACTGTTTTGAATAGCATTGACAATGGAAAGTTATTCCTTACTAAAATTTATTTTTAACTTATTTTAAATCTTTATGGCTACTGCCTTTTGTAATAAACGACAGAAAAAGCTTACTAATCACATTTTCCCTCTCGTTTTTAATTTTTTTCTAATATATTTTGCAAATAATGCATGAAAGGTTTGATTAATTTACTTGTCATTAATGGACCAAATACAGTCAAATATATATTAAAACAGGCAAAAAGCAAATTTATTTTGCCGTCAGTTTTGAAGAAAACTCTACCAATTTCAAGGCCGATCAGAAAAAAAATCCCCCTTCTTCAAAAGCAAAAAATATTTCTCCTATGAAAGTTTTACAAAACATTTTTTGATTCTGAAAAAGAGAGACCTGTGCCTGATTGCTTTCGAAATCGGTACAGTTTTATTGAAAACCTACAAAAAATTAATTGCCTATTTTAACTTTTACACTTGAGCATTTTTTATTTGATTACGGCTATATACATATATTCATAATAATTTATAATAAAAATACTTTCCATATAGTTCCAAGAAACACAAATTAAATTTAAAACCATGAATTAAAAATTTTCAGTCAGAATTTAAATCACTAGTTTAAATAGTAATTTCAATCTGCTTGTTTAAAAACATAAAAATCTGCTAAGAAAAATCTTTAATCGCAAAAATACCAAAACCAAATGTTTAAGTATTGAAAAAATACCTATTGTCATTGATCGCAGATTAATTGAATTATCAAGGGGATAAACCAATCTACCATCAATTAACAACAACTTAGATAGTGTTTCATCTTACTTCCAAGTAAGCATCAAATTATTTGCTAGATCCGAACTTTAAGTCACAATTAATACTCGATCCAAACGGTTAAACAAAATAGCAAATAATCTTAAAATTACAGATTCTCATTAAGAACACAATTAATCTAAACGAGATGCTTACTTTAGAAGACATATCCCCTACACTTTCATTTTCAAACTTGAAAACAGAAGTAAATATATTAGAATATTAAAAGTTAATTCAAAATCAAAAGAAGATAAAAAAATTATACAATCTAAACATTACAGTTTAAAACAAGTAATAAATTAGAAATTTTAAAGATCAAACTAGTAAGTAAAATTAACAAACTTGCTCAAACTTTTAAAACAAATGGCTGGAAATTAAGATTAAATGATGGAAGTAATTTACTTTTAATTAATTTATTTTGAATTTATATATTAATTTCTGGATTTTATTGTTGTTATTATAGATAGATTTACAAAGCAAAATTACTTAAGCAAGGAAGTACCACTAAATATGTAATAAGCAATATGGAAAGGCCTTAAAAGCCATAAATAATCAGGGAAATGTGAATAAAGAGGTCATTGAAGAGAAAGACCTTGAACACAATACTTTTTATTTTCCATTGTTATATTTATTTATATGAGAAAAGCATGAAATTACCATTGTATTAAAATTCAAAGAACATTTTTTTATGATTGGCTTTGGCACCAAAAATGAAACCTCCAAAAAATGAATTTGCTTTGATCTGTAATTTTCTTATTTTAATAGTTTCAATTCAGGTTTTAAATAGGCCGTTTATTCTTCTATGTATAAATATTTTATCTCACTTTGTTGTTTTTAATGTTATCGTAAAGTTAAAACATTAAATAATTATCATAATATCTTTCTGTACATAACACCAGCTTCCAGAAGTTAAGCACGCAATTCATACAAGCAGTTTTCTATAATGTGATCGAATTTGTGTGACCAAAAATAGCTGCAGGTGTCAATATGCTATTGTTTAATGTCACAAGCCAATCACGATTTACTGTTCGAACATATGCTAATTAGGCACTCGTTGAATATACCAGCATTCTGAAAGTTTTGAGGATTTAAATGCTGATGCGAAGTGTTTATAATTTTCGTAAAATAATTTTTGATGTTTCTATGGCTGAACGAAGATGAATGGCACATAATGAGCTCTGGTGTATTGTTTAGATGCATTGCAACAGGACAGTCAATCCACGATGTCACTCCTCCCTTTTTGGTTGTACATTCGATAATTTCGCGAATATGGAAACAATTTCAGACGTGCCAAACAGCTGTCCGGAGACATGTCCGGTCGAACAAAGATTGCTCTACCTTCTGAAGATCGGTATATTGCTAAAGTAGCCAAGAGGAATCAACGATCAACTTCCACAACTGTGACATCAATGGATGTAGCGTCATTTGCAAGACAATATCTGCAAGTACTGTGCGCTGAAAGCTTCATATGAAGAAAACGTACGCCCGCGTACCAAGTGTTTGTACTCCGACAAACCTCCTAAACAGAAGAGTAAAAATTAAGTAATGACATCAACATCTACGTTGGGCTGTCTCAGACCGGCGCAACTTCCTATTCACAGATGAATTCAGATTTGCCCTAGATTCAATTAAGTGTTTAAGAGCCTGGAAAGAACGAAGCACACAGTATCATGAGCAGATTATAATCCTACATCACACATTCAGAAGTCGAAGTATTATGGTGAGGGTTGGCATTTCAATGGCAGCTGGCACATCTTCAAACACAATGTTGTGACGGCTGCGCGGTATCAGGTTAATATCCTATTGTGAGTACGCTGCAGCAGTTAGTTCTGATTTTCTCTAATGCCATTTCCATAGCACAAGTACCTGGAAAATGAGGGCATTTTTCTCATGGAGTAACCAACGTATTCTCTCGACCTTAATTTCAATAAAAATTCTTAGGGTACTCTCGGCAGTGCTGTCTCTACAAATTCTCCTCCATATTACTGTCCTGATAAAGGAATAGCCACTGCTAGCATCTACGATGGTTAATCACCTCACTGAAATACCAATGGTATGTAAATTAAAATACCAATTCCTGATGGTGCTGAGCGCCATACTTTTAATTTTCTGGAAGGAATTTAGTGCTTTGTTTAGTGTTTAATCATATTTATAAGGAATTATCGCCTTTCTCTGTGCAAAGACTCTTGTGGTTAACTAACAGCAGTGGCTTCTTAATAGAAGCTTAAAATTCTATTAACTCTGTGAAGCAATTAAATGCTTAAGTTTTCATCTTTTTTTTGGGGGGGAGTTAAAAAATATCAATTAATTCAAAAATATGAAACATAAAGGTAAAAATACTTTTCATTCTTTCTTGCTCTCACAAATCACTATGCTAGTATATACTTACAACTTTCAAAGCCGGAAAAAGATATGCTTAAGATGTCATTGCTGTACTATGTTGTAGGTCAAGGATGTCAAACTCATAGGTACACTTGAGCCAAACAAACAAGGTTTAACTTTAGGCGGGCCGAAAAAAAAAAAAAAAAAAAAAAAAAAAAAACTTGGAATATTCTATGTTCGTCAGCGATTTTTCGTTTAATTTTACTACCACTTGGTTTTGATATAGACATACTGAATACAAAGCGCTGGAATAAACACGGTTAACGGTAAAAAGTAACAAAAATTATTCTTTCCACAAGAGATAAATCAAAATGCTGAAATATTTCTTCAAAAATATTTAACATATCACATATGTCAAACGTTAGCAAAAATCAATTCAAACAGAGAAATAATTCTATCTCACAGCGAAATCCTACAAATCAACACAGCATTAATATCAAACAGTTCGCTAGAGCTACAGTACTACTGAGATGAGTTGTTTGTTCTCGGCTTTATAAGCTTTATATTAATTTCTCGAATATACTGGAAACATCTATAAATATCTGGATTTTGTGGATGGCAACAGCAATTACGAAATATTTATTATAGGTATTAAAGCACGCGCTGTTCTATTTTTAACTTCCAACGCAGCTGTCTTTCAAAAATCGTCTGATTGTAAGCAACCTGAAGCAAATCTAATTCAATTCTAAATAAAAAAAAAATAATAAATAAAAAACATGAATCCTAACAATATGAATTAAGTAATAATTAATAAAAAGCAAGTGCATACACATGCATGCACCAATACGTACAAAATATGATGGAAAACTGAGACCATGAGTTCGGCCACATCGGCTATCGGGGATGCGCACAAGTTCTGAGTGCACGTGTCTCCAAAAGCGAAGGTAGCTGAAGCAAGTTACTCACCGCATTTGTAATTTAAGTAGTGTGTGTGTTGCTCGTGTGAGTAATCTAACAACCAAAATTTCGTTAATTACTTAGCAGTAAACATTCATTTTTTTCGTCGATTGTTATTATTATGTATTATTATTTGCCAATATATAGGCCGGGCCACAAAAATATTTGTTGTGGGCTGCGAGTTTGACATCCTTGTTGTAGGTGCTTTATTTTTTACCATGATATTTTCTGCAATGATGCTTTTGAAACGCGATGTTTTCTTCTTGCTTTCTTTTCTCCCACGATGTTTTCACCTTGAATTGTTTTCCCCACAACATTTCCGTCCCCGATGGATATCATGAAAGATAGTAACGATAGCCATTTCAGTAGATGTTAAACCATAAGCAGTAATTAGCATTCTGAATCCTGTCGTGGACTAAAGTGATTGGCAGTACAGTCGTAACCTGTGAAGCATCTTCTGATAAGCAGCATAAGAGTTAATTACGACAGCAACGTCAGTAAGATGTTGAACGATAAGAAATAACAGCTTTCAGAGTTCTCTCGCTGACATTAGTCTTATCTGAGTGCACAGCTAGGGTAGCTTATCGATAGCTATACTACGATTGCTATCTATGTGAGATATTTACTCCCTCCCCAGCCTCCATGTACTTCATGGATTAACTGCATTCAATGTTACTATGCGGAGGACATGCATGCTGTGAGGACTTATCTCACTTGTCTGACAGAACATCAGAACAAGCCCAAGAAATTCATCAAGGCAAGGAGTGCAAGAATGCGCTTGTAATTGGTAACAGCATTGAGCACCATACAGATGACAGTACTTACACAGTTCACCTCCCAATTCTAGTGCATAGCACCCCGGTTGGGAGAGGCGGGTCCGAGGGTCTCCCACCGCTCTTTCCCTATCACTAACCTCTCCACAGACGTTTCAGCTTGCCGCATATTTAGAGTGCTCCCATGCTGCACGGCCACTATGCATTTACAAACATCCATGCCTTCTCCGGAATTTGAACCCAGGCCCTTTGGTACCGCAATCACAGTCACTAACCACCATCTTGGTTGGAGACAGCGGAGGATATGTCTTCCTTTTCCCAAGATACAAAGTCCTCCATTCTGCCTTGAAAATTCCTCTATTCCCTCCATGTGTAACATTATAAAGGCTCGTTTAAATATGTGGTTTTATTCTTGCATTTGTGCTCATAATGCAAGCAGTGAAAGTGTTTTTTCGTTGATAAATCTTCAATATACTAATGAAAAGAAATATATTTAATACAGAATGAAAGAAGGCTAAATTCCTCCTGCAGTGCTACTTAATTAAAAAAAATGAAGACATTGTTGTTAAAAATAGGTAGTTTCAAAAAGTATGATTAAATAAGTCCCTAATTTATGGCACATCTGAATTCTGACATCCGGTGCTTCTCTGGCGTAGGTCTCATTGGGGGGTTAGCATTTTTCTATCGGACCTAAACAATAAGTGGAGCTCCAATGTTGCCATGTCTACATGTCATCGTACTAGATTTAAACTACTGATCTGAAATTCAGAAACGTCCAAAATTCGACGAAGATCCGACGTTCCCGGATCTCAGTACGCAATTCTACTTAAATGGTGGATGACGAATTTTTTGTGAAATTTTGCAATTTATCTCATGGTCTATTTTTGCTTTTGTACTCCCGTGAAAACATTACTACTCTAATGATTATTAACCAATTACAGAACTGCTAAAGTTAGAAAAGTCATGACAGTTCAGTATTATTGTCTCATATAAGAAATTTTCATAATGCTTCTGATAAATCATTCATCTTGTATAATTAACAGAATGCATAGTCAATATTCTCCATGTTAAATAAAAATAACAGAGAAACTGTGAAACGGATGGCCTGCATTATGTTTCCTGATGTAAATCCATTGAAAATAGGAAAATAAGTAGTCTTAAAAGACATACTTCAACACCGTCCCCCATCAAGTACCAAAAACTCCTGGCTACTGCACTGAGATAATAATTGTAATACTTTTCTGAAGATCTTCCCAGACAATCACCTTAAAATCGTGCAACGTTGGTCCACTACACTCAAAGGTTAGACATGTATTGCATAAAATGCTTCTCATAAAACTTCAATATCCTTCTTGTGCATCTTTTAACTCTTTAACTGTGAATTAAAAAAATATATTTTCCCTGTTTTCTGTCCAAGTGAACAAAATATGTCATGAATAAGGTAAATTTAGCATTTGGGATTTTTTTGACAAACGGTTTCCAAGCCAAAGACTGGGACACATATATCCTAGCCATAGTTAATGGTGGGATACATATGTCCACAAGTAGTGATTGACTTACTATAAGCATACCCATTATTCTCAAAAACTTTATTATATGAAATAGATTTTACATTGTATGATACAGCGTAAAGCATTCTTTGCACAACCCATTACACATTGGGCAACTCATATATTTGTTCTTTTCTCTATGCTCGATGAGCACAGCGGCGTTTTGAGTTTCCAACTATTGGAAGACGATCCCCAACATTCAGGAGACTTTAAATACTTTGTAACCCAGCTTTAAACTTAAGTGGGGCATGTATGTCCCAACAGTAGCCAAAGGATTAACTTTCCGTGGGGTAGAGCGGAACAAAACTCAAACATATCCTATTTTTTTACCTCGTTAAAAGCGAAACTGTAGCTATAAATGTACATATTTCCATTAAGTTAACCCACTCATTAAATTTACTTCATATTAAAATACAAAACAGTTCAAAATAACCTATATAATTTCAAATGACCACACATTTGAAATTAAAAAATACAGGGATAAGTGATACATCAAACAAAAGAAAAATTGTTTAAGTTTTTTGCCTTCAGCTTTAGAAGTTACAAGTAAATTTTTATAGTTATATATACTGCATGGATACAATATTCGAATTCATGTCATTAATTGCTTTTCCCAGAGTATCTTGTCACCAATTTCACAGCAGCAACAAGATGATTTTTGAATTCTAACATTTTGTTACAAACATATGAGGGAAAAAAAAGGAATCAGTTAAATGTATGATTCTGTAATCCTTATACACTGATGAGGCAAAACATTATGACCATCACCACATATTTCAATGAATTTGTCTGGATGATATGAATGGCAAGTGATTAAGTGGGAATGGTATTTAACTGCTGCTGGAGAAGGAAAGGAATCAATCTTGCACTTACTTTTGGGAGTGATGGGAAAGGCTGCTGATCTAAGCGAATTTGATAGAGAGCAGATGATAATGGCCCAAAGACTCAGAATGAGTATCTCTGAAACTGCACAACTGGTAGATTCTTCATGATCTTCTGTTATTAGCATTTATGGAAAGTGGATAAATGGCAGTGAAACCGGCAGTAGACACCAGAGTGTTGTACATCCACATTGAATCAAAGAAAAAGGATGTCACAGTGCATCCAGCTTGGTACAGCAAAATCGGCACAAGACAGTGGCTAAGCTTACAGCCCAATACAATGCAGGTCCAAGTGCAAGAGTTTCAGAACACACACTTCAGCGGACACTGTGGACTGTGCAGCAGGCATCTCACTCAAGTGCCTTTTATGACTAAGTCATTTTCAACTACACCTACAGTGAGCACGGAAATATCGAGACTAGACCACAGATAACAAGAAGAGACTTACCTGGTTGGATGAATCATGATTTCTCCTTCATCCCTTCGTTGGTCATGTCCCGGTACACTATCTTCCAGATGAACAATTGCTCCCCCCCCCTGTACAGCAGGTCATACACAGGCTGGTTGTGACAGAAGTTATGCTTTGGGAGATATTCTCATGGGTGGCTCTGTGACCTTTAGTTGTGGTAGAACAGGCCATGAAAGCAGTAGACTCTCTGACCATAACTGTGGATCAGCTGTTTCCTTACATGGTGCCTGTCTTCCCAACTGGAAATAGAATCTTCCACCAGGACAATACCCCATGTCACAAGGCTCGAATTGTGTTGGAGTAGTTCAAGGAACATCAGAATGAATTCCAATTAATGTTTTGGCCACCTAACTTGTGAATCTTAACTCCAAAGAGCACATTTGGGATGTCATGAAGAAGCAGCTCAGATATCAGACATCACCATGTCAAAGTATCTCGACTTTGTGAGACTGCTGCTTAGACATTTGTTACAATCTGCCTCCAGTTATCTACCAAGAACTTGTGACATTCATGCCAGGCAATTTGCAGGTAAAAGGTCACTGAGTAGGTGGTCATAATATTTTGGCTCTTTAGTGTATAATACGAAAGTATAATTATCTCTTGATTTGTTTACAAAATTTTTATGATAATTAATGCTGAAAAATATAAAATGAAAACCAGAGCTCACCATACAGTCATAAATTCTGAAATAGTACCAGTCATTGTTGCAACACAATAAGCATATTCCATAATAAAGTATGCAATAATACAATTTAAATATTTTAATTTTAGAATTTCTGTGATTTTCTTAATATAAATTCTTTTTATTTGTCCATAATTCAAAGCATAAAAATATGTTATGTCAAAAGTCCTGATGTTGTACTTTGCAGAAGCAGTACAAAAGAAAATCCAGAAAAAGCTAAAAGTTACTACATCCCAAAATCAATAAAATTAGTTTAATAAATATTTTCTCTGTCATAAAAATGAACAGGAATGTTGCATATGTCAAAGTATATAAGCACAATTTATGTCAAGGTGAGGTCAATAATCTTGATAACTTTCTTTCAGTCCAATTAGATTCTGCAGAACTTCCTGATAATCATCTTTCTCATATGCTGTTTCAACACATTTCACATATTCTTTAAAATGCAGCTTGTTAGCTTGTGAGAGTAACCCATCAATGAACTGGGCAGAAGAATCTGAGCTACTGAAAGATGCAGCTACTGGCACTTTCTCAACCCCTAAGAAATCCAAAATAGAAATTTTACTTTGGAAATGGAAGCACTTTATCAAAATACACATAAAATTTAATTTCAGTTTATTCATATAACATGTTTTTTTTCACCTCTTCTGATATAGAATTAGGAAAAATACTACAGCTCTCTACATATTAAGGGACAGTGAGAAAACTGTTTGTAACAACATGATTATCAAGCACTTTATGCAATTCCAAATTATGTAGTTTACATTATACACTGGAACCAGTTTTTGTGCGATTATGCAGTCCCTATTCACCCCATTAAAAAAAAAAAAAACTTTTTAATTGTGTTGCAACAACTATTTTTTATAGCTACACCCAAACCTGTTTTTATGCAGTGAATAGGAATCATATAATAGCACAAAAAAAAAAAAAAAAAAAAAAGAGAGAGAGAGAGAGAGAAGAAGAAGACTGCGCAAAAACTGGTTTGAAATTATTAAACATGCCCATGATTACTCAAATACCATTATTCTACATACATTTGGAAAATTATTTTTTTCTTACTTGATGGATTTCTTGACTTATACCTACCTATAAACATGTTTGATTTAAGACTTAACAGACATATGCCTTCATGGACTTCAACAGACATGGCCTGCTATTTAGTTGTTCTGGACTAAACTAATTATATTCAACATACATATACCAGAAATATTATATTGTGAGCAATACATTGTCTGTGAATTGCAATAAAAATTTGAATATTTTTGATGAAGTTAACTTGATTATGGTACATTTTACACTAATGAAATCTTTTATACTTAAATTTATTACATCACTACTCTACCATTCAATAGTGGCTGTAAGAAGAATTGTTAAATTTCATTTGGCTGCAACTTACCCTTTTCGGTTCATGACAGCTGTTTTAGTTATGAATATTCACACAATAGTATATAATTTTTCTCAAATAATACACTATAATCACCACTTTTTTGCTATTTCCTCCCCCCATAGATTAGGTGTTTTATAAGTACAGCAATAATGGGAATGCATGGAAAGATGGAAACAAATTATATACACAGTACATAAACAATATTATATCAGGGTTACAATTTTTAATACTACTATAAAAACAATACTAAAACAAACTCTAGGCTTTCTTAGCTGTATTTATATAAGACATGAGCTTCCAGAAAATTCAAGAAAGATCTGTCATGTGAAGAGCATATCTCATATTTCAATTAAGCTATTTTTATATTCTGAACACTGCCTTTTTGCTCCCCAGATGGTACAGTGATTAGTGGAGCCTACTGTGATGCCGAAGGAACAGCGTTCAAATCCCAAAAGAAGGCATGGATGTTTGTAAAATTGTCTGTCCCATCACAGGATGTTAAGGTGGCCACCTATCAAGTGTCTCCATAATAAAATGACCACCACTTCTGGCCTTAGAGTGGCAAAAGCCTAAAAATGTCCACCATTTTTTTTTAAACCACTGCCCTTTTCAGATCAACAAAAACAATTCCATACTAGAATCAAACATATATTAAAAATATGTATCACAAATACAAAATAGATAAATAAATATTACAACAATGTAGTAAAAAGAATTTAAATATTTACACACACAACAGATAAAACAGTAAGATTTCCTTTAAGCCTCATATATCGTAAAAAGAAGAAAAACTTGATCTGAATATATGCAGTTCTTACCTTGACTGTTAGAAAGCACCCCTGGATGTAAAAGTCCATTGACACCAACAGTACTGTTGAATATTTTGGGAAATGGTGGAACAACACTACACTTTTCGTAAAATACAGTAGCAGTACTACAAGAAAAGTATAATATAAATTTAAAAATATACTCAAATTTTAAACAATTTTTCTTTTGTCAGAAAAATGAAAAAAAAGAAAAAAATCTTTTAAATTGAACAGTATTTAGTAAATTACAACATAAATAAATAATAAACCTACAAAACTATTACTCACGTAACTGAACTTGCTGAGTATTCGGCTAAGTATTGCTTGAATAATTCTTCAGGTGTAGCTGAATGATATAATGATTTACCAGGTCTACACAAGAGAAAAGAATATTAATTATAAAAGTGATATTTTCAATTTTTTTCTCATTTCAAACACTTTACACATTATAATATATTTTATAATAATTATCAATGGGCTTAAAAATTATAAAAATCTTAATTTCTTGACTGTATAATACCGTTGTAAGTTAGCTAAATATTTGCCTCCATTATTTTTGCTTTGTTGAATATTACTTTTGATGCATCTTTTATTATTTTATTTATTTATTTTTTAATTTACTGACATATTGTATAATAATTCTGCTTATCTCTTTCATATTTTTGAGTAATTTTTAATTGGTAGTCACTTATACTGTACTATTATGTGTTTAATAGCTTTGTTATTTTACAGTAGCCATAATTTGGAATAAATAGACATGAGATTCAAGAAAATTAATTATAGAACCATGACAGTGAATTAACAATTATTGAAAAAGAATATGCCTTTACATTTTTAAATGCATTTTAGCTTTGATGATTATAGCTTTCAAAAGCATTTTTGCTTTAATGCTAGATTTTTAACTTTCAAAAGTATTTCAGCATTGAAATTGTGCAGCTGTTCTTAAAACTATCCAAACATGCAATACTTAAAATTTTGAATAGAAATATGCTTTATATTCAAACATCTAAACCTATATGATCTCATGTGACATACATAAAACCAGTGGAAATTTATATTATAGCAAGGATTTTGTACCAAAAAGGAGCAACTTGCCTACAAGGGCTATTAATTTCGTTTTGGCATTTTGTGTTGTCCAATATAAAATTGTGCTTCACTTTTCAAACTGTTGCCACCAAATATTATAGCTCAGCATAATACTTAAAGAAATTAAATAATGAAGAAATGAATATATGTATGTTTCTCGCATTGTGAAAATATGATAGTACCTAGAGACATCAAATTTTAAACAACGTAGTCTCCACTCGAATATGGGCATTTGGAATTTGTTTTTATTACCTATTTCATATTTTGGAGTAGCTATTTATTGAATTTTTTATTAATAAACACAAAGATTTCAAAGTGAGCAATAGCAACACTGTACGAAAAAATCTCCAGCCCACAAGACTGTGTATTGGAAAATCTAAAGATATCCTTTCTTTTTAATATTTGTGATATTGCTGTTGAATTGAATTTTATGGTTTAAGTGCAAAGAACATGATATTTAACAATTAAAGGTAACACACAAAACGTTAAAAAACAAAATCATAAATAAAGTAAGAAAACTTTCAGTTTTCGTTTTTTTTTTTTTTTTTTTTTTTTTTTTTTTTTTTTTTGTTTTGTTACATAACTTTTTTTGCTAAATGCAATCTTAAAATATGGGAAAGCTAACTGATTGGTAAGGGTAGGTAACTGGAAGTTAATCAAACCCATGATGTCACCCATAAAATGTATTTACATGGCAATCCAGCAGATAAAAGCTGATTTCCAGCTTCACATTCAATGGTCATTTTTCTGATTTGCAATTGTTTTTGTGACATTCAAGTATACCTTTTTTTTTACTTCTTGCAAAAAACTGTAATGGGAAAGTGGAGTTTCCTGCTGATGAAAAAGAAGTGCTACATGTCTTCAAAAATATGGCATTTTGTACAACACAGAATGCAAAAATTCCCATTCCATAAAGTTGCTCTTCTTAAATGATAAAATTTTGTGGATCAAAATTTGTGCATGATGCTGAGTTTGTATTATTATTATATGATTTTTTTTTTTTTTTTTTTTTTTTTTTTTTTTTTAAGTTAAACTGACCCATTTCTACATGGGAAGAACACTGCAAAGGAAAAAAAAAAAGTGTTTTATTATGGATGTTTCTAGCATTTTTTATTTTTAATTTTGTTAGCTGGTTGCTGTTACATGTAATTTTTAGTGCAGTGCCCTTTGCGAAAATGGCTGTTGTCCTTTGTGCCTTAGCTTGATGAAACATTAGTTGCCAATAGTTCCTGAGTTTTCAGGAAAGAGGTGCAGATAATCAGAAAGTACCAATAATTTTGAAAAAGTCCACTGACAATTGTTAAATTGGAATTTATACACATTAACAAATTTTCCTTCATGGATTCTTCCCCTTTAAAAATTTCTCTTCAAATTTCATAAATAATATTTTTTGTAATATGAAAAGAACTGCAATTTTTAAATTTTTGTTTGAACATCAAATTAAAATTCCTTACTTCTGAAATCTAGTCAAAGGTACACCTCTAAGAACAGATGACTGATATAAAGTTTTTTCTGAATCAGGTTTGTAGAAAGGACTAAGTGATGTCACATAGTGTTCTGGCCCATCCTTTTCAACCATTGTACTTATGAAGGTATCATCACACAGTGGGAAAGGAAGACATAAGCTAGAGCAGACTAGCTAAAAAAATATTTCAAATTAAAATTTTAAAACAAAAATTAAAATTTGCATAGACTGCATTCAAACAAAAAAAAAAAAAAATTGTAAAATATTTTTAAGACTATAATTACATAATAGTCATGGATTGTGTTGTGGCATTATATTTGAGTTTCACTCACCAGTTTGATTTTACTTCACAGCTTTCCTGTAGCCTCATTTCATCACAGGCTCACTCATTCCAAAGTATGCAGATTTGAGAAGCAAGCAGTTTAGTATAAATTTCGAGAAAGAGCTCATAATCAAAGGAGAGTTTAGACAATGTTGTCTGCCTCCTCAACCAGCTCATAGCTTTACAAATTGCTGCTGCTTGCATAAGACTAGAATTCTGAGACATATGTGAGCGGTAAGTTAAGATTTTGACTAACTATTAGTTGTCAATCCATAACTTAGTACCCCGTTTACAAAGCATTTAGGTATTGTAACTACAAGTTGTTAAAGGCTAGTTTTGTGTTCACTGTTAAATCCAGGTGATGGTAACTTTATCTTGTAATATTTTTATTTTAACCTCATGAGTGGTGAGGTTAAATAACCTTAAGTTGAATATCTGTGTCTGTCTGTTAGTTTAAAGTGGTGAAGCTAATAGTGAAAACTAAGTAAGTTTAAACACTTGAAGAAAAGGAGCTGAGCTGCACTTGACCTAGTTAAGAATTAGATGGTTACAGTAGTAATTATGAGTGTTACAGTGTAATTATAATCCTAAACACTTAAAATCGGAAACCTCTAAAAATTTAGAAGAAATTTTGTTAGTTATTTTCTTTTTCATACAGCAGTTTATAGAAAATTTTTAAAGAAAAATAAACTGCATTTTACAGAGGGGAAAATTAACCACACGACTTTTCTTTATTGAAATGAAAAGTTTAAGTTTAAATACATACAAAATGAAGTACTGAAATAAAGGAATGAAAAACGCATGAATAACTGTCCATATTATGCAATGTTGAAACAAACCTCATAAAACACTTTCTGGAATAAAATAAACCAAGTAAAAGAAGAAATAATACAATTTCTAGAATAGAATAAACCAAGTAAACCACACCTATCCCCCTAAAAAACATTTTACTGGCTGGATCTTAATTGCAAATTTAAGCAAAAATGAAAATTGTATATGGATTCACAATTTTAAAAAGTTTAATAATCCTGATATGACAATCTCTCATTCTAGCAAGTAATTCAATAATTCCAAACCATTAATATATAAAATGTTTCTTGATAGTACATTAATTACATTTTGATTTTACTGAAGAAAATGCCAAATATTTATTTGCATTAATAAATTATCTTATTTTTTAAATGCATAAATCTCAATGCAGAAATTTCAAACATATATTTAGTTTACTAAATTATCAAAGTTTGTTCTCAGATGTCAATAAAATAAAAGATTTTTACCTTTCTCCCATATATAGACATACCAGAAGAAATTTCTGACATGCTAAACTTTAAAGACTTATGACGATATGGAGATGTGAGAGTTTCAATGGCAGCAGCAATTATTGCACTTGTGTGATATTGCAATTTTACCTAGATTTAAAGAAAACAAATATCTGAGAACAAATTCTTAGACTTTGCTCTTTAAAATTTTCCGTACTAAAATCATGCATTAAAAATGGTCAAACTGTTACACATACTATTATCATGAAGTAAAGTTATTAAAAGTGCATTTTATACAGTTATAAAAATGCATTTAATATATATGTGCAGTAATAAAAAATTAATTTAACATATATAATATTACAAAAAATGCATTTAATACACATATAGGAATAAAAAATTAATTTAATAAATATAGCATTATAAAAAATGCAGTTGGAAAAGCAGTACTTGATACTTATCACCAAAAAATACCACTTCTGATTGATTCCTGCAAATGTTTATAATAGACCTATTATGGATTCTTCTAAAAAGATGAGATTTTTATTTCTTTTTCTTCTTATTAAAATCTCTCCCCCTTTCAAGGAACAATGGAGATAACTTCTTTTTTTTTTATTATTTTAGTGTTTATTTCAGATGAAGCACAGCAAATGCATATCTGCACTGTGTCCATTTTTTAGCACTAGGAAGACTATTAGTCTTGACTCTCATTTTTGCATCATATCACTTTTAAAATAAAAGGATACTGTTAGCAATGTTATTGCCATATATTATTTTTGAGGAAATAATATAGCAAATATTAAAAAAAAGTATGGCAACACTTGACATTCTATGGTGAATTCTAAAGTTATGCCACTTCGAAAAATTTTATGATTTTGCTGTTGAATTTTATGTAGCATAAATGCACAGAAATTGATGCTCAATTAATAAAGGTAAAAAAATACGTTCAGTAAGTCATCTTATTAAGAAAACTGAACATTGATATAATGATCTAAAGAAAGACTAAAAAAAAAAAAAAAAAAAAAAAAAAAAAAAAAAAAGAAAAGAAAGGCTACCAACAAAATCAAGGGATGCCATGACATCTATTGAGCTGTACATGAGCATGTATAGTTATCATTTTCTATTGTACAGAAGAATAGGGAAAGAAAAAATTAATCATCAGGAATGAGTCTAAGAGCAAAGTAATAAACTGCAAGCTCATTGACAGCATTGTAAAACCTTTAAAAAAAACCTTTGTCTAATGTTAAAGGCTAAATCTTGCCAGTTGCCATCCTGCATTTGTTGTTCTTTCTGAATTGTTCAAAGGTTGGACTTTTTTTAAATTTATTAAGAATTAAAAATCTTCAACCTTTAGCCACATAAATATAATCCAAAAATATGATACCAGAAGAAAATTTCACAATAGTAAAATATTGAATGCACATACGAATTCATATGCCACTGCAATGGAATTTCTTTCACTGTATGCAAGATGGCCTAAAAGTTATCTTATAGAAAGAACATATTTACAGATCCTAATTTTTGACGTTAATATTTATTGGATTGAGCAATTTCATATATTGATATTCAAACTATTAATTCAGACTGTGAGAAAGGGAACTGCTCATTGTCCTCCAAGATTATCACACTTAACAAAATACATGACTTTGCAGTTTGGGGTATGATAAAATAAAACAGTTATTTAAAATAGATTCCAAAAAGCATTGAACAATTTAAAGAATAGAACTATTGTATAATTTGAGGGTTTGAAAACTGATCATAAAATGAAAAGCAAATTTATCAAAAAGTTTCAATGAAATGGGAGCTTTGTTACAGAAAAAAAGCAAGACATTTTAAATATTTACTTTAATAAATTTACTGTTGATGCTATTTCTATATATTACATATAAGATACATTAATTATTAAAGTCCTAAAAATGTATGGGTAAGGTCCTTTTTTAGCCCTCAATATAGGAAGCCAAAGGAGAAGAAAACACATTTTGTTTAAAAAACATGGCTGTTAATAGGGTTGATGACAATAAATTATAAAAACTTTTTAATTCTTTTCTTCCTATTTTTCCATGTTTTTTCCCCAACATTAGTCAAATAAATCAAAACATAAATAAAATAACAACACACTCTTTTGCAAAAAAAATCGAAGCACAAAGAAGGACTTTTGCGATTGCCACGAAATTTAGTATGCAAATACATCTTGATCGAGAACAGGAATTGAGATCATAGCGCACATTTCTAATGCACAATTCACAAAGTATGAAACCAGTAACAGAGGTGGAACATTATCTTTTTTTGTTGCTGCCAGTTTAATTCTGTAGAGAAGGAATTAAAGATGCCATTACGACGATATCAAAGACCTTACAGACATTTAAATGACATCGAACGTGGTCGCATTGTAGGGTTGCGTGAAGCTGGGTGGTCATACTGAGCAATAGGCCGCCATCTGCAGTGTACAGACACTGCTGTGCAAAGATGTTAGCAGCAATGGTTGCTACTAGAAAATTGCCAACAAAATAAAGGCTCTAGAAGGCCAAGGATCACAACTGGCCCAATGGTATAATTCTCGACTACTCAACGCACTACAGCCATGTCTATACCTCCTGTGGTACTGTCCACCATCTCACGGCACTTGTCTGAGGCGGGATTACGCTCACGGAGGCCTTTCCGACTTTTGCCTTTGACCCCACAACATCGGCGAAGTCGTCTGGAGTGGTGTTGCAGCCGATCATCATAGCTGCCATCCTACAGTGTTCAGCGATGAATCGCGCTTTACTCTTGAAGCAGATGACCACTGTGTTCATGTCTGGAGAGGATGGGGCCAGCGGTCCCAATCAGCCTTTGTTTTACAAAGACATACAGACATAACCCTTGGTGTGGTGGTGTGGGATGCTATTTCTTAAGACAGCAGAACATCTTTAGTCATCCTCCGTACATCTTTAACAGCTCAACGATATGTTGATACCATCCTGTCACCAGTTGCATTACCCTTCATGGCACATCATCCTGGGGCCATTTTCCAGCAAGATAATGCCAGGACACATACCACTCGCATATCTCTGGACTGTCTCCGTGTGGTTGATACTCTTCCTTGGCCACCAAGGTCACCAGACTTTTCACTAATTGAGCATGTCTGGGACATGGTAGGCCGCCAGATTCGGGCACCACAAAATATTGCAGATCTGAAGCGCTAAATGATGAATACCTGACAGGACGTATCGCTGGATGACATTAGGAACCTCTACCACTTCTCGCCTCGATGAATTCAAGCATGCATTGCCGCCAGGGGTGGTTCGACTAAGTACTGATTTGAACACTTAAAGGGTGATTGCGACTACTCAACGCACTACAGCCATGAACTGAACAGGTACTATGACCTTGAAATGAACAGGTACTATGATTTTTTAATCATTTTGTTATCTGTGTATGAGCTATACACATATTCAATTTCATCAAAAACAATCCCTTTATTACGTAATTAATCAACTACTGTTGATCAAAGTTGTCAGAATCCACTGACGTATGCAGGTTCTGTTTATATATAACTGATTAAAAAACAACAAAATTCATTTACCTTTTCTGATGTATCGTTGAATATGACGTGATGTTTCAGCTGGCAATCTTCTTTACAGAATAACCACAATTGAATTTTCTTGACATCACATTTTATTTACATAAAACATTCAAAAGGAAAAAATTAAGATTTAAATACATTTTCTTGTACAGCCTCTCTTTTTCTTTTATGGCTGGCTGTACGAAACAATTTATCCGTCCATCACACGGATTCGAAACGAACTATCTACTGTTTACAAAAAGAATAATAAAAACAAAGTTTTGATTTCTCTCACTAATGGAGCCTCTAGTGAGAGAAAGACACTTTAGATGAATATTTAACACCCTTCCTTCATGGTGCTTCAATTTTTTTGCAAAAGAGTGTATTATAAACAGAAAGTTTTAAAATTAAAATTTAAACAATTGATCAAGTTCCAGTTCTACCGGCAGGTTTCTTGCCTAACGCATTTTTTTAACTTAAATGTACACTGTGCAGAAAAAAAAGGGGATGGACAGTTCTATACTTCCCATTCTACTGGGTCGATTGCCGAAAATTAACTTGCGTTTTTTATGTCTCGAGAGTGCGACTTAGATAATATATCTCGAGAGTGCGATATATTAGATTTATATATAACATTGTTCTAATATAGGTATTCTGACACCAAATCGAACTTCTTGTGAAATGACATGCCAATTTTTTTGCCATATTTCGATTCTATGATTCAAATTATGGCAAACTGCCACGTTTTTTCAAAATTCACATGAGTGGTTTCTAAAAAATTAGCTCTCAAAATTTTAGCTTCTCAATGTTAATTGAGTTTGATTGTATATTTATTAATCTCTCTTTTTTTTTATTAAACTTATTCGATTCTTCTTTTCACCTTTTGAAATTCAGGTTCATTCCAAACAAAACTCGCATGTTTTTTTATGACTTGGTTTTAAAATTTGTATTTTTAAATAATTTTTATAAATTTTTCAAAAAAATTTTGAATAATAATCTATAAAATTTTTGCCGTCATCTAAAAGTAGACATATTTCTAAGCATACCTGCAAAAAATGGCAGTTTTTTATTCAAAATTTCCGAATACGTGAATTTATATATTGGCACATTTTGAAATTTGGCATATTTTTTGAAAGGAAGAAAACATCAAATGTGGTTTAGATACTTTTCTAAAATATTTGAAAGGAATTATTTGGATAGATGTGGCTTTTTTCCGCTCATGCACAAAGTTGCCAAGTGAATTATTCTTGGCGCTAACTGAAAAAATTGCCCCAAGATAAATTTTTAAATTTCTCTGTAGATTTCGCACCAAATTTTACAAAATTTAATATCTGGCATAATTTGAGTCACAGAATCGAAATAGGTAAAAAAAATGGTATGTTATTACAGAAAAAGTCCGGTTTTGTGTTAAAATCCCTATGCTAGAGCAATGCTATATACAAATATAATATATATCCTAAGTTGTGCTTTTGAGACATGAAAAACGCAATTTGAATTCTGTCAATTGGCCCAGTAGATTGGGAGATACAGAACTGTCGCCCCCCCTTTTTTTTGCGCAGTGTACATGATGTAACTAATTAATACAATCAACTTCCAAAAGTTAACTAAATATGCATAAACTGGCCTTTGCTATTTCTAATTTATAGAACTGTCGCAGGCCCCCCCCCCTTTTTTTTTGTGCAGTGTACATAATGTAACTAATCAACACAATCAACTTGCAAAAGTTAACTAAATATGCATAAACTGGCCTTTGCTATTTCTAATTTATAGCAAAAATAAACATAACATACATCATACTGAATAAAAGGAAAAGTTCTGTATGGTTCAGCGAGTTTAACAACATCATCAGAGAAAGACAAAGGAGAAAAAAATGATGAATGAATGTTCATATTGCTCATGGATAACAGTATAGCAAATAATCGATGCATCTGTTGCTTCACATCCTAAAAATAAATAGAAGTATGAAATGATATAAAATATTGCTTAATCAATACATAGTTTAAAGAAAAGTAATACTTTAAAAAATAATTCAAATGCTGCATGCGAAACTTAGATAAACTGATGGATAATCTTAGAGCTAAATTATATTACTACACAGAATTTCACATAAATTTTATGCTTTATATTTATTCTCATTAAATTTTACTCTGGTCTATTTTCTTAAGAATTTTCTAAACAGTTATTTTCTTATGAATTTTCTAAACAGAAGAGATAATCTTAAATTGCTAGCAAAAAACGGCTTTTATATGTTAAAAGTTTAATTACACTTTGACTTTCCACATTACTAAATAAACACCTACACTTGACTGAAATTTGTTATTACTGGTTATTGTATTAATTAAATCAGATTAGACTGGACTTTTCTGGTTGCCATTTTTTTATAAATCTGTTTTCTTTTAATTTTAAAGTTTTTAAAACTTCAGGGCCCTTTCAAGGTGTGCCTATGGCGGCCCTGATAGTTAATACTTCAGTCAGCACAGTTAATTTTTTCCATTCAGTTAAGTACAAAAAAGTATCTCACAGAAACATCGTTCTGACTAAGGGTTAACTATAAATGCAGTTCCATCAATCAGCACAGGAATAAGTACAGAAGCAGAAAAAAACAAAGAGGATTAATCTATTGCTCAGGAAAAAAATTCCTATATTTTCATTATACAGTTTTCACATGATTAAAATACCAAAGGTTAAGATGTCACATCCAGAGTTCAAAACATAATAAAAGGACTATTGAATATTTTATCAAGCCTTCAAGTCATTATCATATTGAATCCTATGAGCAGCAAATCCCAGCAAAATTCCAAAACAAACTTAGAATTTTACAAAAGAATTGCTCTTTTTCCATAATACTTTAATTATATCTAGGAAAAAAAAATTAACAATTTACGCATTCAAGGATATGCATCCATGACATTTACAATTACAGAGAATTCTAAAAATACACTCTCCCCCCTTTAATTCTTGCAAATGAAAATCATTAAAATTTTTTCATGTTTTTTTTTTTTAGCTAACATCTATTTCGGCAACATATACGTGATCTATCAAGATGGTTACAATTCCAGCATTATCATTTCTCAAGAATGCTTAAAAAGTATACTACTATATTTACATTTCAACTTAAAAATTATGTCCACATTAGATTTAATTTTACATAGCATGATTAATAAATATATTTATACATATATATTTGGGCTTATACATGCTCTATGTATAAGCTATCTATAACACTTCTTTAGCTTATTTTAAAAACCTACTGTTAACAGACTTTGCTGCATAAAATTCTTAAACCTCTGGTGGCAAACTAATTAAGCTAACACATGACAGGTTAAGATTAGTTGCTAACACATGACAGGTTAACAAAATAGTAGTTCAATCATTATTAAATAATGTTCTATCTTTGATAATTAACTATACATGTATTTACAATTACCTGAACAGGAAATGCATTCTTATCTTGAAACACAGGAAAACATATTGAAGGATGGGCATGGTATTCATCATCAAGATACTGGAGGATATTACTGCTTATACCAGAGAACCCATTATGAGCATCAAAAATAACATGAAAACCCTAAAAATTTTTAAAAAAAAAAACATATAAGTTGCAAAAACAAATTACATAACAGAAAAATAAATATCCACTTATGTCAAAAATAAACAGTGCAAATATTAACACTTTACTGACCGCTAGCAGTTCAACAGCATACGCATGTCCGACCAGCCGCAGGTTCTCCCTAATAATAAAATGCAAATGATATAGCAAATGGCACTTGTTTATTGCCATGGCTACCAATTGATATTTTTAGGTAGCCCCAAGGGAAAAAAACTGATTAATAGGCTAACAGTTCATAGGCGTTGGCGAAAAAAAGCTGATTAATAGGCTACCGGCTGGTAGGCATTGGTAATACAAAGCCGGTTAATAGGCTATCAGTTGGTAGGCGTTGGTGATAAAATACCGATTAATAAGTAATCAGTCGGTAAAGTGCTAAGACAAGATGTTTGCAAGGGAGACACTTTTACTATACACTCAAAAAAACAAATAAAAATTCTCAAAGATCTCAACAGTTGAAGTAAATACTGTAATTATCATGAAATCTTAAAAATTTCATATGGCTTTTAAAAAAATCTAGCCCATAACTTTAGTTTTATTTATGCATAAATTAAATAACAATTAATAATGTTCATAAATTGGAAGAGTAAACACAGTAAAATCTTATTTAACCTAACTGAAATGTGGTTTCATTTAAATGGTGAAGAAACTAACTTTAAAAAAGCAAGTCTAAAAAGAATCCATTCCTTCCTTTTCTTAACATTTCCAACTTTTTTTTCAAAATTTCCCTATTCCAAAGTAAATGCATATTTTATAGTGCAAATGAGTGATCTCAGCAAATTGCTTGCAAAAATATTGAACTGTGAAATCTCTATTCAGGAATGACATTTCAGTACATATTACAGATGGATAATGCTAATTAAAATTTGCACTGTACAAAATGATTTTACTGAAAAAGAACAGAAATGGGAACAACAGATTTCAATATCAAAGTTTCATATCTGCCATTTTCTCAGGAAATCTGTCAATGGACAATTACTAGCTATTGCAATAACATACAATTACATAAAGCTATTCAAAACAGGATTTCTAAAACTGGAAACCTAGAATTATTTGTAAAATATTGTAAGTTTTTAACATACATTCTAGTCCAAACCCAAAGTATTATTAATTTTTATCATGAGCTGTTTTCAGAGAACATTATTTTCTAAACTGAATTTATTATTAGTTTTTATTTATTATTAATTTTTATTATTATTAATTTTTAACATGAGCTTTTTTCAGAGAACACTGGTTTCAAAGCTCTGATTTAAACTTTTAAGAATTGCATACTTTTCATAAAGTATGAAGCAAGTACCCATTTTCTTCATTGAAATAATTTAATTACATTCCCAAATGAAACATGTACAACAACTTACAAAGTAGTGCTATAATTTAATTTTCCTAATAATGTTTAAAACAGCAGGAACTTTTACTGGCAAAAGTGTATTAGTTGAGTTTTGCACAGTTTGCATGCAACTTCTCTGTGATTTCAACTTCACAAAATCATGGATACAGTAACAAGATCCCTAAGGACATTATACCAGGGCTGTAGAGTGGGAGTCGAAGTCATGGAGTCAGAATCAGAGTTAGGCAGATTTTTAGGTAAAAGGAGTCGGAGCTGGAGTCGCTAAAAACACGTCGACTCTAACTCTAGTTTTGTTGGACAGTTTGAATGTGAAATGAAATTAAAGTGCATTGAAAAAATATTTAATGACAAACTGGGTTATTATTTTTATTTATGAACTATATACATTAATAAATAGTTATTTTCTATTTTATTGACATATTGCTAAATAAATATAAGAGAGGAGGATGGATGTGATATTTGCCATTATTTGATTAAACTGATTCATTTAGTTACTTCACTTCGTTACAAATCTCATTGGTAAATTTAGGTGAGCAGCAATAGCAGCAAGACCTCCCAAAACTGATGCCTTGAATTAAGAATGATTTTAGAAGATGTAGATAACTCTAATGTTTCACTAACAGAAAGACTCTGGAATGATCTTGCGGAATGGGAAACTCATCTTTCTACACCATATATAGCCACAAAAAAGCTACAATCCGAAAAATTAACAGGAGGTGAGAATGGAAGAATGTGATGCTGTTCTTTCTGAAATGGAGGGTTTATTGCAGAAGGAATCATTTCTCCAAAACAGCCCGGTGGCAATGTGGCTAACGTGTTGCGCAGCTACACCACAGTTCGGGGGTTCAATTCTCAGGCTGGGCAAGGTTAACTCAGTCTTTCATCCCTTGAATGGGTCAACAAAATGAGTACCAAGTTCGCATGGGGACTAAACACTGGGAATCCTGTGACAAGCTGACCACTTGTCCAGGTACACATGCTAATGTATTCCAGGGCCCAAGGTCAAGAAAGCAGATTTCAGAGCACTGTAGGCCATGGCCCACTAGGGCTATTGTGCCACTGAGTTGCGTTTATTATTTCTTCAATGAAGCAAAGAGAAACTAATTTGCCAGAATATGAGATCTTGCTGTGTTCAATATATGTATATCCAAAATATATCCAAAACGCTGAATTTTGTTGGATGATGAACAAATTAAAAATCTTTGAGAAAGAGAGCCATCTATGAACTTTCATTAGGAATGAAATTATTCTCAGAACAACTGGAATATTCAAATCAGAACAGTCAAACTGCAGACATTGTAACTGAGTCTTTATCATCCTCCAGTGATGAATTAGATTTTGAGAAATATTTGGATTATATTGAAAAGACTAAGGCAACACAAATGAAAATAAAGAACCAAGAGCCTTTAGATATAAAAATGATAAAATGCAAACAAGATTTCTACACAACTTTTGAAGAAATAGAGAATATATGATTGTTCTACCAAGACACCACTTTTAGAACTTATAAAAATCTATCCTGAAATGTTAAAAGAAGTAGCCCTAATAGTAAAAGCTCTTCTCCTACTCCAAGTCAGTGTGGAAAGACTCTTCTCAGCTCTGAAGTTTATCAAATCAGATTCTATGGTCCTCTAACAAAAATGATCTTGGACTGAAGCTATACTGTTTCCTCGAAAATACTAATGCCAGTTTTTCCATTTCATAATAATGCTAATTAATATAAAAAATAATTTGTTATGCTATCAATTTTTTCTGTAGCATCTATTACTTCTTTTGTATTAAAACAATAAGCTGTAACCCATGTGTATATGTTTACATATATATGAGTGAGTCGGAGTCAGAGTCGGACATTTTCCCTAGCGACTCCACAGCCCTGCATTATACTGATAAAGGTGAACAGTAAGAGGTTATTAAATAATATTTACAATAAAAATTAAATTCAACTTTTTTTTTTCAATTATCAGTTCACACTATTTCTTTTACACTGCTTAAATAAAAATTTAAAAAAATCAAAATGGCAATTTTGAAATTTACACTATTTAAAATGGATTCAACAATAATATTATTGTTAAAACTGATATGTATAAAATGAAGTTGTCATTTTTTACGAAAATAATCTTGACCACAGATTAATAGAAGCAAATGTTATCCACAATTGTTTCCTCCTCATTAGATTAAATAAAAGGAGTTATATTGTAGTTATGTTATTTATAAATGGAAAAAGAAGTACTGTTTATTTCTATACAATAGACCTGCAGATAATCACATTCTTCAGTCATCCTCCGTACAGCATCTTCAATCATATCCTTTCCAAATTTAGAATAAGTTTCTTCTCCTGAGCTATACAATTGAAGGGGGATATTTTCTCTACACAAAAGAAATAATTTAAATGAAATTCATCACATTTTCATTTAGTGCACATAAATGGTACAAAATCACTTTTTTTTAACATAGAAATGTTAATCTGGATATTATGCTACTTAACACAACATATATCACAGAATTCGATTACTTAAGGATATTTAAGTTCAGGGTAGTATTTAAGGCACTAAAATGATAACTTACTGTCTTTAATAACTTTAGCGTGATTGTGTGCATTTTTTGCAAGAGCAATATCATTTATTATTAGTAACAACTGCATTACTTTCAAAGAAATGCAGAATTAAATTAAAATCTAACTCATAAATAAAATGGTAAGAAATGCTAAGATTTGTTATATCACTAATTCCCTAAGGTAATTTTCTATTGCACAATAAAAAGCTTTGTTAAAAAAAAAAGAAATATTATTCATTAAACTGAAGCATGAAGAAAGTAATTTATGAATCAAGGGATATGGTGAATGAGGTAAACTTCATCACAAAATCTACTTACGATGCTTTTGTATATGACACCGCATGTTTTTGTAATCTGAAAAGAGATTTTTCCTGAATCAAGCACTAATTTTTAAACATTTGCTGAAAATTCTAAAGTCTCTTCCAGAGTTAAATATGACTTTAAACATTTTCTCAAATCTTTTAATCATTCCCTCATTAACACTACTAAGAGTCTGTTATTGATATAACCAATACTATGGCAATCCCCCCCCCAATTTTCTTTATAAAAACTCACAATGAATTACAGATTAAAAGATTTTTTTTATTTGTATTGATAGTACATGAAACTGAAGCTGCATTATTAGTATGTTGTTAATACCAAATACCAATATTTTTAAAATTTATAAATGTTCAAGACAACTAAAAATGCATACATGAAACCAATTTATGGATTTACCAATGGATTTACCTATCAATATTTCATCAACATTAAAAAAAATATGAATACCATTTCAATTGAAAAAATTCAAATCTTTACACATTAAAAATGTATAAGTATGTAAAATATAACAAAATATAATAGTTGCAGTAAAAAATAATTGGCCACCTCAAAATTAACATTCTAGATTTGGTGCTCTCCCCCCAATTCATCTGTTCTCTCAAATTCGAGATTTTTTTAACTTAATTTATACAAGTTATTTGTCTTAAATTTCAAGTTTAATTTTGTATAACAGTGTATTAATATTAAGTAATATAAAAGGCTTTTGAATGAAAACTAAAAACTTTGACAATTGTGCAATGCCAAAAACCAGTTACCTTTTCTAAGGAACAGAGGTTTTTCGATATATTCAAAAAGCACCTCCCAACCATCAGCAAGATGGTATGCTGATTTTGTTGGAGAGGACTTGCCAAATTAATTATCAAAGTATTCTTGTTTTATTTAGTATTGCATCATATTATTATGTTTTTACATTGAATTTTCTGTTGCATTAATATGTGTAGCTACAATAACAGGAAGAAGTTTATCATAAAACTGTGCATTATATTTCCACGTCAAAGTTCGCAGTTCAATCTGTATTATAATGGAAATACCTTCATCAATAAAAAAATTGAACAACTTTTATTTGAACATTTTACTTTGTGAAAAAATTTGAACTTTTACCTTGTGGAACTATTTTGAACAAGAACTTAAATTTTGAACAAAATTTCATTGGACATTCTTATCTCGGAACTCTAAAAATGTGCAACTGTTTTTAAAGACTATAGTGTATTAAATTCAAAATTTTACCACTTTCAGTGAAATGTCAAATTCAGTCAAAATATCACTCGAAATTCTATGATGATAATTTTTTGTTTAAAAGTTAATACTATGTTTTACATTTTTCAAAATTATATATATCTTTCACATTTTGCTGCTCTAATGCTTTTTCTTCCATCCTGTTCACCCAACCTTTCTTTTGAAGGAGGAAATATGTAAAATATAAAAAGATACGATAGCTGCATTAAAAAATAATTGACCACCTCAAAATTAACATTCTAGGTGCTCTTTCCCTAAATTCATCTGTTTTCCCAAATTTGAGATCATTCCAAATTAACACTGCTAGTAAGTAACACTGCTTGAAAAAGGTAACTAAAACTAATGCTGACCAATTATAGCTTAGAATGCTTTCTGCACATACGAGGTATAAATGCTGAGCCACGAGTAATATTCTTCCCTTTTTTCCTGACTTTTGCCATGCAAGCAGCTCTTTGTTGCTTATGCTTCCCTGCCTGGGATGACATCATAGCTTTTTATCTGTGTATATAAAAATTATTTGTATTCAATGATAATCAAAAAGTCTGCCAAAGAACTAATTTCTCATGTGCCTAGAAATAAAGATGGTGATTCGACAAAATTAGTTTTTTCAACGTCTTATTCCTCCTTTCCACCCAGCCATGTCCACAGCCAGAAGTTAATAGTACTGGGTTCATGACTGCACGCTTAGTGATATTATAGTATATTATGCTTAAGACTTCACTTCAGAGTCTGTCTGCAAAAAATACATGAATGTCATCCTCTTTTAGGGTTTTTTAAAGCATATATCATATTTATAATGGCTTTAAGTATTTCAGGATTTTTTTAAGTAAGTTTGCTGACATGATACCTTCACAAATCTGACCAATACTGCTTTAATCTTTCTTCCTAATCTTAACTACTTCATTTTTTTTTTTTTTTTTTTTTTTGTAATAGCCCACATTGAAATCCATAATCATCTTAATTCATACTGAATGTAATTCACATGTTTTAATAAAAACTTATATAACTGATATTATGATGGAAAGAAAATTATTAATTGTTTTTGAAAAATCTATGAATCTTTATGAAATATAGAAACCAGGCACTGCACTTTTGCTGCTAATAACATATTGAAATAAACATAAAAATTTATCTGACTAAATCTTGATCATTTCATTTGACAATTTAATAAAATTACAATTTATAAAACTAGAAATTTATTTTTTGTAATAAGACAATCTTGTTAGTTTTGTTTAAAAAAAAATCACATACAATAAATTTTCTTTTTAATGCTTTTATATAACAGTGCAGATTACTTTATTGAATTTTAAACAAGACATGTCTTCACTTAGCATTTTCTTTCAGTAATTATGACTCTAGAGCAAAATAAGTAATATTTATTGCAATTTTTTTAGTTGATTAAGAAATTTTCACTTTCAAAAGCCACAAATGCTTCCAGAAATAGAATGCATTATGGTTAGGGTTCTTTAAAATACAAAATTTCTTGCTTTCTAGTTTCCCACTAATTTCCTAAAATGTCAAGAATCATACAAGTTTAGAAACTTCCAGTACTTATTGTATTTACATGGTTAAAAATTAGATATTTTATTACGACATATACTTCTCTACCTGCAGTTATGATAAATTTTTAAAACAATAATCCAAAGTTACATAGCTTTTGAAAAGGAGCTTTTTTACGTAAAACATCAATAATTGAATTAAAACTTAATTTTCGTATATTTTGATAATAACTCTGATAAGATCAAACAAATAAAAAAATATTTTGTCTAAAAATTAATTCTCAATTTTATGATAACTAGTTGCACAATCAATCAGATGATGAGAACTATATTAAACCAAGTACTACAAAGATTACAGAATAAGTCACCATAATAGCTCTCTGAAACTCAATACACAAAATTACTTTACAAATGCATATTCAAAGTTATAAATGCATGGAGGTTTTGAGTAAGGTTGCCAAAGGACATTTTATATCACCAAATAATCAAAACTAACTCATAAATGGTCATGGATGTTCTTTTTCTTTCAGTAAAGAAGCAAGAGATACAAAATTTTAAGATGCAATTAGTTTTATTCACTAAAAGCTTCACATGCACTTTATTTTCTTACAAACAGTAGAAACTCTTTGGCACAGTTGAATATTTTTATATTTATTATCACCTCAATCCATAATGCTGAAAAAGCAGTTAAAAAGTTAATGAAATTAGCTGACTATCTTAGTTGTCTCCTTTTTTGGAGAGGAATTGTGAAGGCTAATATGATACTTAGATTAATTTACGATAAATGGTGGGGAGTCATCAAAGACTTGTTGTACATCAGGATACAAAAGAAAACAATCTAAAGCAATTTTAATAATCCCAGATAACATCTTGGTAGCAACTGAAAACTTCAGAGTTTCCAAGAAAAGAAATCCTATTGATGATAAATATCTTTATTTAATTTTTTCCTTAGGCATTTTGTTAATTTTACATACCTTTCACCATATAAAAAGTACCATCCTGTGTAATTCATTTTTAGAAATATTTCTTACTATTAGAAATATTAATTAAAAATCTCTATAAATCATGCACAATTTCTTGAATTACATTCTTATCTTGAAATATTTTACAGGAAGGTCAAATAAATTATGAAAAAGAAATCTGTTTTCCCTTTTCCTCTAATAAATAATTTTACAAAACAAAGTCAAGAAATTAAAGCCTGGCTAAAGCAATTGTTGCCTTAAATGACTATGAGCAGCTTTCATCCAAATTTTAACATGCATATTACAAATGTGAAACAATGGTATAATGAAGGATCAAAATTTAAACATAATAGCTAAAAGAAAAAAAAAAAAAAAAAAAAACAGTTAACAGAAACTTACTCAGAAGGGCACACTTCATTAAGAAGGCAAAAACTTTTCGGATGTAGATTTGTTTTCAAGAAGTCTGACCACACAGTTGTGGATGAATTAAAATTATACAGGCTTTCACAAGCTACTTCATTCTCAGTACCAGATGATGCTTCAGCTACATGTAAAAGAAAGTCTAAGAATAAAATATTTTTAATAGTCAAAGTTATAAAAACTAAAATTGCTTTTTTTTTTTTAATTTTATTTTTAACTGCAGCATTATTTACAGTAGTAATTAAGATTTTATTATTATTTGCAGCATAAAAAGTCAAAAATTCGCTATATTACCAACAGACAAAATTAATGAAATTACAGTTTATTATGCAACTCAAAAATAAATTAAGCATTCCTCCACATTGGAAAAAAATTGCAAAGTAAATGTAATGTTAAAACTAATTCAAATTGCTTCTTCTTTAAAATTAGGTACCTCAAGACACACAAACAAACAACATAAATTCCAAATTAACTTATCAATCATTTAAGTACTTTTCGATACACGAGGTGCCAGTCACAACAGTGAGCCAAATCACCATTTGTGATAATCTATTTGTTTTATTTCACAAGCAGTTATTTAATGATGATGCTATGAATAAACTGGGTAAATTAATATTAATTCTGTTATTTTACACATTTTCAGTTACTTTTCTTGTTGAAGCAATGATTTTTTTGGGGGGTATACAATTTAGCAATTTTCAAATGATGAAAAGTATGATTAAATACTGGCCCATACAGAAAGTGAAAGATTAAATTTTTGAAAGGAAAGGTTGGTAATCAGGTAGTATCCAATCTGCCCTTTTTTATTAATTATTTATTTATTAGATGGTGCTACTAAAACATATTTTTGAATTTGAATGGGCAATAAATAGTGGGGAAAAGAAGTGATTAAAACAGCAATCGATTTTAGTGCCACCATCTAAAAAATAGATAACTATCTAAAAGAAGTAGGTAGCATACTACATGATTACCAAAAGGTTTCAGTATGGATATTGTTTTGTAGCTTGTATGCATTCTTCTTACAGCCATCTGGTGTAGTTACTTCTGGAGTCAGGAGCTCAAATTAGTATAAATCTGTCAACTGTCGACCAGAATAATTACATGTGTTCCTGATTTGTAAATTTCTATATCTGTCTTTGCTCTTAGTAATTATCTTTGCTTTTATAAAATAGCCAAACTTTTCATGAAGCTTTACTTATTATTAGTGTTGCCATTTCTACCTCTCATTCAGTTTTGTGTCAAAATTTACATTTTGCATCATGTTAACCAAAAAGTAACAGCATTTATCACAACAATGCTAAAAACTCGTAATTTTTCTTTATCATTTATTGCTAAAACTATCCAAAATTATATTCATGTGTACTGCAATAACTAATTAATGTATATTAAATGGCGAAAGAAATCACCTGATTAACAAAAATCAGGATTGATGAAGCAAAGAAATTCACATATACAAAACAAGATAAGTTCAATAATATAAACAGCATCATTTTTGCAACTAAATATTTATATACTCTTGCTGATGCTCTTTTTCTGTTTTGCTGCACAAACTCTAAGACTTTCAGTTTAAAAGCCACTGTATTTTTCCATTTCAAGCATGCCACTTGCTAACTACCATGAATTCCAAATGATACTATGAATGAAAAGAGAAAGCTTGAAATATGCAAATGCTCCAATGAGGGAGGAGGGGGAAGTAATTTCATTACAAAACAGTATTTCCTGGAAGCCAGTAAAGTAAGAAATTCTTTAGTTTTTGGGGTGCGGACATTGTGCGAGTCCCTTTTTTTTTTTTTACATAAATTTTATCTGTAAAGTTGAGGTGCAGACATTAGATGAGCATATACAGTAACATAAATATATGCTACATAAATTACATATATATATGTGGGTGATAAAATTTTCTTGCAATTTTCTAAGTTTTTAAAATGTTATTAAAAATTTTACGATTTATTTCATTTGTTCCAACTTCAGTTAAAAACACATCTACTTTTTGGTGATGAATACATCTTAATCACTGAGAAGAAAACAGTAACTGGTATGTGAATAATTAAAAAAAAAAAAAAAAAAAAAACTAATAAAAATCAGTATGTCTATTCACAAATATCATAATAAACTACTTTTATACAGTTTAATATTTAATACATACTACACATATTTATGTTGGTTATTATAAGTAAAATTTATCATCGAAGCTCACTTTCAGTATACTCAGATGGTGCATTTTAGATAACAGAATAACAAGTAGATAGGGGGTTACTGAGCAATCTTATTTACAATGGCTGAAAGTTACATAGATATGACTTGGAAGTACAGCATCCTTTGCTTTGAAATTTAAGGAACGTTTTACTCAAAATGAAAAATTTCATTGAAAAAATGGTACTTTCTGATTATCTGCACCTTCACTGAAAAGTCATAACAAATATTCATGAAGCAAAGCAGTATGTTACCAAAATAGTTATGTGGCAACCCATGAAGTTGCAAAGAGTATTTACGTGACCATTGCAGTTGTACAAATCCCACGTTAGTGCAATTCTCTGATTCTGATGATGTTTTTTAAGCAATAAGAGATCATTGTGTACATAAGGAGAATAACTCTGCAAAACGAAAAGGAATTCTCGAAAAAGGTAAGGTATTTTATTACAGATGTTTCTTGCCTTTTTTTTAGTATCGATTGACTGATTGTTCTGTATAAGATTCTTAGTATGGTGCCCTTTTTAAATGGCTGTTGCATTTTGTGCATTAATTTGGTAGAAAATTAGCTGCCAAGAGATTGCAGATGCTTTCTAAAGTTAGCAATGAGTTTTCGACTATTCAGTGGGACTGCAGATAATCAGAGAGTACCAAATGGGGTTTTTCAAAATCCAAGCATGGTAGACCACTACAGAATTTAGTACTGAAACCAGAACTATACTAAAATACCAAACCAAATTTAATGTGACATGAGTGAAGAAAAAAACACATGTATCATACTTCTCAATGCATTTCTGCTATATACCTCTCATGTTTTAAAAATTTAAGATTTTTTTTTTTCATTTAATATCAGGTTTATAGCATCAGATGTCATATGAAAAAAATTATGTTTCTTTCTATTTACATCTTTGATCAGCACATTGTGCACAAATTAAACAACTCTATCTTTTGACTAATATGAAAATTGGTACATCATTATTTAATAACAGGTATTTTCTTATGAACTGTCAAAAATTAGAATTACTGTTAATATATAAGATGCCAGCAAAAGTAATTTTATTTTCTCACTATTTTTATTATATGTTTAATGAATGCACTTTCCAAAATGAAGTTTATTTCAGTTGTGATCTATATTTTGCCCAGCTACAGGGACAAGTCTTGGCTCTGCAACAACAGCAACTCGCACACAGTTTACAGCAGCCACCTCACGAGAATCCTCAACATTCCGAGTCTTATCAAGCAGTGGAATCCTCAGCCCCAGAAGAACAGTCCACAAAAGAATATTCCTTCACTGAGGTGACACGAAAGAAGCGGAAAACTTCTCCACCTTCAAGATCTTCTCCAGTTCTATCGGAGCACGTTCTATTATTAAGGTCAAAGAACTCCACACGGACACCCGAAGGGATTAAAGCTCAACTTTCGGCAGATTTGAAACCCCCCCCCCCAGCTAGGGATCACTTTAGTGCAGATTCGGCCGACAAGGTCCAGAGAGCTTCTCATCCGGTGTCGAGAAAAAGCTCACCTGCTACGCCTGAAACAGGCAATCGAGGACAGGCCAGCACTACTAGAGACACTTGAATTTCGGGAGCCCAAGCCAAGAAGGGAAAGTGTAATTATTTTTGGAGTACCTGAGAATCTAGGAAAAGAGATCTAACAGCAGCACTTGTAGACCAACTGCCCAATTTCAATCCCAGTGCTTTTCAAATACGAGCAAGCCGTTCCGGGCAAAGCGGAAAAATGGGTGATAGACATAGACCCTAAGTCAGCAGAACACCTAGTTAAGCTAGGCCGTTTTTAGTGGGTTTTGAGTCTTGTCCTCTCCGTCCGTACATTAGGATCATACGCTGTTACAACTGCCAGGAGTTCGGTCACTATAGCAGGAACTGTAAAAAACGCTCCAGTTTGCGCGAAGTGTGGTAACAGCCACCCGACGCAGGAGTGTAGCTCGGAAAAAGTGAGTTGCACTAATTGCTGCAGTAGTAATTCTGAAAAGGGGACCTCTTTCAGCACAGATCACCCAGCTACTTCAAGTTCCTGCCCAGTGTATGGAGCCCATTTCGAGAGTCCTGAGAAGGACCACTGCTAAAGAACTAAACCAAGATGACACTAAACAAACATATAGCAGGTCTTCGATTTTTACAGTGTAACTTGCAGAAGTGCTATGCAGCAACCATAAATACGCTGCAAGTAATGACACATACTGCTGCCAATGTCGGAATCTTCCAAGAGCCATACGTTTACAACGGAGTGATTCCTAGTGTTCCAACACACAGCAGAACGTTTCTCTCAAAGAATCAGCTAGCTGCGATTATTTACAGTGGCCCTCTCTCCCCCTCTCCTAATGAAAATCACAGAGCATACAGTCTCCATCAGACTAGACACTAGTAATTGCAGCATTGATATTATTGCTGTGTATCTACCCCCGAGCGAAGATATTACCTCTCTATTAGAGGAACTTAATTCTAACCTTCTAACTGGGGCATCACACTGTATCATAGCAGGAGACTTTAACGCCACCAGTCAACTATGGGGTGCTGACTGACTCGGAGAACCGAAGGGGAATTGCGGTACTCGAATTCTTGAATTCTTGGACAGTAAGCATTTCATTGTCATCAACTCAACGCTCAGGACTCACCGCCTACCTTTGAAACATCTAGAGCTCGAGGGTGGCCAGATCTGAACAATATCAACTCCCAATACAACTCTCCGTACATACAAGATTGGACAGTGAGTGACCTGCCGTCACTCAGTGATCACAAAATTATTACTTACAGGCTGGATACTCCTATAGACTACATAATAAAGAAAAGATTCAAAACGGCATTTGGAGGACATTCCGTTTTACGGGAACACATTCGAGCGCATGTAGAGAAATTTATCAAAGATTTCAACAACTGCCAGGACAGAAACTCCTTAGATAATCTCTACGACTTACTAGTTACAAAAATAGTGCAAGCCGCCCACAAAGCATATCGTTTGAAATCTGTAAAGGCAAAACACTCGATATCCTGGTGGTCACCAGAGCTTAACACAGAGAGGAGCAGAGTTCGGGCACTTCGCAGAAAAGCACAATCCA